TCAGCTAGGTACCTATGTTTGGGTCACTTTGCGGGGGACCCCTTTTGGAATGGGGTTAGGTATGGGTAATATGATTTCTGGGGTCGGGCCCCTGAAGCCATTTCCCCTCAAAAAAAGTTTACCTACCTTTGCTTAGACCGATTACATGTATGAGATGTTGCGATCTGACCTGCATATAGTGGCGGCCGTGCTTGCATCGAATCATCCAAAGCCCGATTTTTCTATCAGGACCTCCGCTTTGACTAACACCTCGCCATCTTAGTTTAGGCAAGTACTTACATACATGTACCTAACCAACTAAAATACTATACAACTTTGGAAGTACTATACCATTACTATAGCATAGAGATAGAGAAACTACCCCAAATTGCCCAAGCAACTTGAAAACCTCCAAAACTTCAGGTCCTCCACAATTCCTCCACATTCCACATCAGCGCACCGCCACTTAAGGCACGAGGCCGAGGGCGCTATTCCGTTCACGTAGATCCCGACTTGGTTGGTGCCCCACTAAGCGCCATAAGTCTCCATTTATCTTCCTACCAATTCCGTACTTTGGGGTACATCGTTAGTTTGGAGACCCCGGTTCCACCCCCGGCTTTCTGCACTCGTGGGTTGGTTGGGGTTGGCGGTTGACATGAAGGAAAAAGTTCCAAGGTTGCCGTGTAGCGGTCTATGTATATCTTTTAACCGTCTGACCTACCGCCGAGTATATATATCATCTGTTGCCAGCCTGCCTCAAACCGTAAATTTGCTTTCCTAATTGTCTTTGTTGGTTATACTTAAGTACCTACCTATGCTCCCGTTGTTGCTTGGTCCTCGGGTAGATTATTACGAGCATTGACTATAGCCGAACATCTTTAGTCTCTTTAGTCCCGCAGCTTGATCGACATCGACGTGGGACCAATATAAATAGAAGGTCATCGGCGCATAGATCTACGTCGCGCGATTGATCTTGGGCCTTGTATCTCACCAGCCTCTAAGCCGAGGAGCCTTCCTATATAAATTATTGAGTCATCTCGACTTGGCCCAATCTCACCTACCACCTCGAAGCCAACTACATTTGACATATTCACCATGGATAAATATTTCGGCCTTCGAGGCCACTGGCTCAACTATGCCATAGGCATAATTGCAGGATGTGATTTCTTACTTTTTGGATATGGTAGATATCTCCATCCCATATAAGCGCTACTTAAATAACCTAACAATGTCTTAGATCAGGGAGTGATGGGCGGTATTCTCACAATGCATCAATTTCTTGAGGCTTTCCCGGATATAAATCCAGACGCCACGAATATAGATACGATAGAACAAGCAAAGCGAGCCTCAACCCAGGGTATCGCTGTTGCAGCATACAACTTAGGGTGCTTTGTCGGCGCGGTTACTACTATTTTTATCTCCAACCCCCTCGGTCGAAGGCGAATGATTATTCTCGGTACTTCAATCATGGTCATCGGCGCCATTCTACAGACCAGTGCTACAACGCTCCCTCACTTCATCATCGGCCGTGTAATCACTGGACTCGGAAACGGAGGTAACACATCAACTGTTCCCACTTGGCAATCGGAGACTTCTCGCGCCCACAAGCGAGGCAAGCTGGTCATGATAGAAGGCGCTCTAATTACATGTGGTATTATGGTCAGCTACTGGATTGATCTCGGCTTCAGCTTCATCGACAGCAGTGTCGCTTGGAGATTCCCGCTCGCCTTCCAAATCGTATTCTGCTTGTTCATCTTAGCCTTCATCTGGAATTTGCCCGAGTCCCCAAGATGGCTGATCCTAAAGAACCGCGAAGACGAAGCCAGAGAAGTCCTTGCTGCATTAGGAGACACCACGGTCGACTCCCAAGAAGTACAAAGCGAGTTTACTGCTATCAAGGACACCGTCCTCGAGATGTCTAAGGGCAGCTTTAGCGACCTTTTTACTATGGACAAGGACAGGAACTTGCATCGCACCTTGCTTGCTTTCGTAAACCAAATGTTCCAACAAATCTCAGGCATTAATTTAATCACGGTATGTATAAAAACGCCCCGTGTTGTTACTTTCATCCCCCACCTCCTAGAACGGTTTCCAAGTATACAGTAACTAACGCTCAGTAGTAAGTTGCGATGACCCTATTATTTCGACTCACTCGAAAAATAACAGTAAAAGATCCAGAATTATAGGGTTATAAAGCTAACACGGGATGTTTTGATTAGTTATTATGCACCAGTAATTTACAGCGGACTCGGTATGAGCGACTTCATGGCTCGACTACTCGCGGCGATCAACGGCACGGAATACTTCCTTGCTTCATGGCCTGCCGTGTTCCTTGTTGAAAAAGTTGGACGCCGGAAGCTCATGCTCTTCGGTGCCGCCGGCCAAGCTATTAGCATGGCTATTTTAGCTGGCGCAAACTCTGCACCTGATAACAAAGCAGCTCAGGGCGTTGCCATCGCCTTTCTATTCGTTTTCAACACATTTTTTGCCATTGGCTGGCTCGGAATGAGTAAGTATATTTTAGTTTCTACGTGATGTCTCACGGATCTTGTAAAACACTCCAACCTTATTTTGGGCCTATGGTGTATTTCCACGAACACATACTTGCGGAAACGTTTGCTGGAATATATTATGTGACTAACTTCTCCTTTTCCTTTAGCTTGGTTATACCCCGCTGAAATCACAACTCTCCGGACCCGTGCGCCCGCCAACGCGCTCTCTACTTCATCCAACTGGATTTTCAACTTCCTCGTTGTTATGATTACACCCATAGCTTTCAACAGTATTGGATATCAGACCTACATCATCTTCGCAGTAATCAACGCGTTCATGGTACCGTCGGTCTACTTCTTCTTCCCTGAGACGGCATACCGCTCACTTGAGGAAATGGACACCATCTTCCACAAGGTACACGGTGCTAAGGGCTACTTTACGGTCGTAGACGTAGCTGACAAGGAGCCCCGCCGCTACGGCAAGAACGGCGAGCTACTTATCGCTTACGAAGAGACGGATGAGCACAAGGCCCACATTGGGCGCCCCGAGCACCACGAGGGCGGTGGATCTGGATCGGCCTCTCTGTCGACGGATGTTGAGAAGGCCCACGGCGGCGTTTTCGTCGAGAACCGCGGCTAAACATATGCGATATACCCATCACGTACTAGCTTTATTACGTCCCTTACTTTTGCATTGCCTAGATATTACATGGCAAACTCCTATAGATAGCTGGAGAGTGCTGGAACTGGAGGCTATTTCGAATTTTATTACGCTGTAGATATCCATCATGTAAGAGAACCGTACAAAGCTTCAGCTCCAGATATTTGAGATGAAATATATTTTCTTGGGACAATAATTACCACGACTCTTGACGTCTCCTGCGATTTGGATAATTTGCCTAGGCACGTAGGCGAATAAAATACATATGATTATACCCCCATATCCTGTGCTAGAAGAGTTCTGAAATTCGACGAAAAGGGTAACCCGAAGACAAAGTAATGAAGTATATGTATAGGGGAGCACTAGCCCCGGAGTGAAGCGAACTTGGTGGCTAGTATCCTTGACACCTAATTTAGTCTCATATGATCTGTGCAAGAGTAGACAAATGAATTTGCCACATAGACTTTAGGTATGGCTACTCAAGTTGATTATTTATGTGAATCTGGTCATAGCTTAGACCTGTCAGGACTTGAATCCATGTATACGTAAAATATTGGAGCCATGCTCCGGGTTACCCTATTCAACTGCCTCCTGGCCTCCTGGCCTCTTGACTTGAACGGGGAACCGAATAACCGAGTGTTTATAAATAGTTTGTGCGTTTGAATAGGGCACGGAGTTAAGTGTGTATTGGCGAAGAATGTATTTCAAATTAAAAACCGTAGATTCAGGACATTCTAGTTCAGGTATTATCTTGGCTGTATACCTTACAGTGCGTTGCAGAATGAATGGGTCAGCTTCTATGCGTTCTGCACTAAGAAGCTTTTAAATGACTTAAAATTATGTACTATGTAATCCGAGTGCAAGGTTTGCTAGAAAATAAGGGGGGTTGGATATGGGACAACGGCTTAGCTCGAAGGTCTCCTAGTCGAGGCTAGACACGACACAACCTCGCAAGGAAGAAACTTGAATCAAGGCGAGGCGAAAGGTCTAGGCTCTCCACATCTATGTAGGTGTAATGCTTGCTGTACTGGGCTAGAATTACTAACCAAATAGCAACTGGCTGTATAGAGATAGAGACACATGCACAGAAGTCGGCACAGACTGGTCATGAATCATCTGACATAACCTACCTTGGCCCAACTCTAGATGTCTCGCAACTGTAAGAACCACAGCAACCACAGCAACTTAACAGTTTCCTTACTTGAATCTTAATAGGCACTTACGTCACGGAAACGCTGATTATAGACGACACTACGCCGAGCTCGATTGGCACGTCGGAAACAGCAGAGCAGCAGGCCGGCGAGAGAAACGCTGCGTCGGGGGGGATGCAAGATGCGCAGTGTCCATCGGAAGGGAGACGAGTTCAGAGGACTTGGCGAACAAACCGAACGAGACGTTGGGTTACGAAACGAAAGAGAGGAGAGGAGGAGAGGAGATGGGGTGTACCAGCCGTTTCTGATCCTAAATGAGTATATATTACGGATTGAGCCATTGTATCAGCGCCCCGAGATAGCGAAACATGGTGATACGATCGTCTGTCCTGGCAAGGTTCAGGATTCGGGTTGTTTCGACGACGATGTAGTGAGACTCGTTGACCGGCTTCGATGGCCTGGACACATGAGAGAGGGATCTTGAAGGTTAATAACCGTAGGTACTGCTGTGCGGCACTGATTAGGATAATATTGCGAATAAACAACCCTATATCAGCATATCGAAGTTTACGTGGCTTGGTTTTAGGGAAAGATGTTATTTTGCCAGGTAGCCGGTATTCCCAGCCTGTTACTGGCTCAAAGTAACGAATGTGTGATGAGGCTGAATTGATTTGTAGGTGAAACCAGGCTGTGGGATCAAAGCGTAGCAGTGCGCCCCAGAAAACACTCATGCTATGACCTTTGAGAGCCTGGAAGACGTCGGTTCCATGTCTCCTCTTTGGCAGGTGCTCGTCAACTATCACCGCAACATCAATCCTCCAGTCCCAATCCCAATTTCCCACTCTTTCCGACGGCTGCCTGGCTCGACCGGGGCCCGCACATCACCAAGCTTCGCAAAGCAGTCTTCCCCGAGCCTCGGCGGCGACACGGGAGGAATAACCTGCCGGTCACTACACTCTACCAGACCCAACTTCGCCGAATTACCCCCGCCGACCCTCTCTGCGACCCATACATCGTTGCGGTGCTGCTTGCCCTGGCTCAGGCCCAGAAGGAATGGGAGGACATGTACACCTCGAGATCAGACTCAGCAGCGCGTAATGAGACTTTTCCTGTGAGTCGAATTCCCCATTCCCCCTTCCCTTCCCCTCCCCCGGTTGTGACAAGGCCTACACCTCGATGAAAAGGGCCATTCTCACGTGCTGCTGCCGAGTTCTCCGTCCCCGACCTCGTCGCGTGGCTTTCTGAGATCAGTTACAAACACCAGCTAACCCTCTTTTTCTTTTTTTGGCGGTTCGGCAGGCTCGGTTGATTGTCAGCGACACAGAGGACGAAGACACGATGCAGCTCTACGTGGCCGACATTCCCACATCGCTTCTCGACAAGCTCGCATAGCCTAGCCTTAATGCGTCCATGTCTGTCGGCCGCGACGGCGTCGCCAACAGCAGCGGCAGCGGCAGCATATTCCAAGTGGTTCGGCACGAGATAAGCACGACACCACACCAATCTCTCCGCGATCGACTCCTGCAGCGCATGTTCGCGAGCATGCCAAGAACAACAGAAAAGTCCAGCAAGGATCGGCGACGAGAAGGGGAAGACGAGGACCGTCAACAAGGCGGGGTCAAGAGGAGGCTTGATGACAATGACAATGACAATGATAATGATGATAATGACGACAACGACGAAAATGAGTTGAAACGACGGAAAATCAAGGTGCTGCGAGGGGTCGGTGCAGGAAGACGTAGCAGTGGTGGTGATCAGCTGGCTGTCTCGATACCCACATGAGTCCTGTGTACGCCGGAGCAGCGGGCGGTTTTTTGTCAGGGAATCCATAGCGCATCACGCAATGAGCTCTGTCTTGAGGGATAGGTTAATATATATTGATAGGTGAGTATGCCATTCTGGTATAAGCTCATAGAGATACCTCACCTAAGTGAAATAAATTGATAGGCCATCTTCTCTCCCCCAGCGGCAATACTACCCATGCTGCCTTGGTACAGTGATGTCCCTGGTAGCATTTGAGGTGAAATCTATCTAGGAAGTTTAGCTTAGAATATCTATCTGCTAGATTGGCACTATTAAAAGGCTGAGTAATGAATAGGGGTAGGCTTAGCGGTGCCATTTCTTAACACCTATGCTTATATGCGGGATGTGACGATGCCTGCCTATATGCTATTGTGCTTGATATTAGAAAAAGCATAGTTGTTTAAGATATTACTAAGTTTAATGTGCTGCATTATTATATTATCTGTCATTTGGTTGGACTTAAACTTACTATGTAAAGAAAAAGGTTTAAGTATATCCTACCCTATCATCTATGTGCTAAGCCCTTTGTAGCGTATCTTATGAATGTCTCTTTAGAATGTAGCATTGTGGAACTCTGATTAGTGGATGTATATAATGTAAGACTGTATGGTACCTGTAAGGGTAAGCTCTTTTAATATGTTACTTTAGTATTGCCATGGATAAAGATATCTCTAAGAGATGAATTTGACAGAGAATGTTTAAATATCGTGGTAATTATACTATGGTAGGCTGACTATAGTAAGCTTTTAGATTACTTCGTACTTATCTCTAATAATTATAATAATATTATCTAGTAAAAATGAAAAAGCTACTATCACATACCTTCCTACCTTTAGCTCCTTCTCTTTCCTCGTTTTACCTTCCTGCTTGGCCTATGTCTCTCAATCAGCTTACGGCTCAGGAACTTCTCGGCTACCCATTTATCCTCCTTCTTTGGGTGACCAATGAAATGTACCTGGTATTCTGCCTTCCCACTTTCATTTCGACGGGCTTGCAAAACCTCCACTCTACAACTAAGCCCTTTGTGTCTTACCTCTAGGTCGTCAATGAGCCTGTCGTCTAGGTAGAACGTTCTCCTGGGGCTCCTAGTTACAGCTTCTGTCGAGCCACTTTACAAAGAACCAGCCTCCCTACTTGTCAAGCAGACACTCGACTGGATAGTCCTTTTGCTGGCCTGGACTTGGTTGATCTGTCGTTTTCGGACTATGTGGCGGCGACTTTGCCACCGGGTCCTTTGACTTGACTGTTGTGGATGAGACTATGGAATGTGATATTTCGTTATGAACTTGACACCTTTCATCGGTGTATTCTTCAACTTGTTGGGAGACAGGATCGTCGTTCACGGTGTTGACATCATCTATGTACCCATTCTGCCCTGCAAATCTTATCTTCTCCTTTATCAACCTTGCCTTAGACATCTTGGGTTATGGCTCTCTTGGTAAAGTAGAAGAGGAAGTAACCAAGACAAGGAAAAATGCTGCAAGAGTTGAAGATTTACAAGAGTAGCGTGGGTAGGGGAGTAAAGGTCTGAAAGCTGCGAGCAATGGTATAATGAAGGAAATGTGGTTGAAAAGACGGTGTAGGTAAAGGAGGCGGAACAGAGCGCGCCCTGGACATTGAATAGAATTCTCGTTGTGTGGGCATGTGGTGGCAGAAAAGTGACCCCTGTGTTTATTTGTGAGCTGGAGTTGCCCGAAACGACTCCCTGTCAGAGCCCTCGCGAAGTGTTGACAGCTCTTTTATTCGGCCTCTCATGGCTGCAGAGCACCGCCAACTGGACTAAACCATGTTCGTGGGGCACCTGGTGCCACCCTGTGCCCATCCTGTTAAGGCGGCGAGGGTTCTGCCGCTCCCGAGGGCAAGATTCGGGACATACTACAGTTCATACAACCCATGAAATGAACAACAGCAAGCGCTCATGCCGTTAAGAAAAGAAGCACGCGACTTAATATGGCTGCATAGGGTGTTCAGATATACAACAACTGACATCGTACAACGCAGTAGCAGCAGCAGCAATATGTGTGTTAATCCAAAAATCCAAAAATTAAATAGAAAATAGAAGGAAGTGTCAAGCTAGCTAGCCTCTTCGCGTGTATAACAATCTTGCTATAATATGATATATTTAACCCATAAATACCAATAGGGCATAGCTGCTGTCCTAACAATCATATAATTTGCCTGGTTTCATTATTAGAGTCCCTAGAAGTGAATTACTTTCCCCCTGGGTGCGGCTCAGCGATAAGGGGAGACATGGACGCTGCTGAACTAGGTAGGATTCTTATATTGCGTGGCTTGCTTTCTCGGGTAATATCTCGGCCGGTCTATTGGCCAGTTCTATATACTTCACAGGCTAGACCGTAGTCCTCACCGCAGACCGACGGAGATATGTATGGGGAAAAGCCAATACATCCATAGGTATTTACTAAAGCGACCACCGGGTTGCTAGTTGTGATAGTACTTTCTTTCCTGTCGAGATGACCATCCCGAGGATATTCTTCCCTCCTTGGGAGACTTAGCAGCTTATAGGGCGTAGCCTTCCTAATCATCTTCGACGACTAAAAATCCGGTAAAGGTACCTACGTATATAGGTACCTCTATATATGTCTTGGCGCTTGAAATTGATTTCTAGCAGAGACATTATAACTACTACCTATAGCTACAGCCTACTACTAGCTTGAATACCCTTCAAACACACCCCGTCCTAAAAAGGGGTATATGAAAGCGTTGTAATAGTAAGTATTACTACAAAATTTTCTAGGTATATTATCTTATCTGTTAAAGTTCTACACCGTCAACATGCCGTCTGAAACCCATCCGGAGACCACCAAATCTAAGGGGACAACTAGGAAGTCTAAAAGTAAATTAGACATAATTATATAACCTTGGAGGTATTTACTAATACCTAGGCAGAAAACCTTCGCTCTAGCGAGCCAAAGACCAACTTACCAACGATTCCCGTACCTCGCACAAACGTCACAGATCGTAACTAGCCGTAAACTATCACTTAGCACCGATATTCAACCAATGAACACGAAGACATAGTGGATGTCTGGATGCAGAATCAAGACAGGGAAGGCCCCTCTAACGTGCTAAGGTTGTGGCGTTACCAGAGAGTCAAGGACGGTTGCGCTGAGGTCGAGATAAAGGATTAAAGGAAGTAGATAACAGCTTGTAAGGGCCTTACTGTGAAACATATTAAATAGAAGTCATCAGTGTCTATCCACTCCGAAACCATGGAATATCAATGTTCACATATTCTTATAATTCTCATGACGTATTTTGTTAACTTGTAGAAGCTTACTCAATTAAAAGGCCGATATGGGTACATATGTGCTCGAAAATAAATTGTTTACCTCTAAGGACTACTATCTACTGTGGGAGTTAGCAATACCATGAATTTTCTCCATGTTAAAACACTACAGTAATGATAGAAAAATTATCCTGCGTAACCCAAGTTCATAGACAGTACAAAGGGATGAACATAGAATATATCTCATATTGGGCCAGGATTAAGAAAAAAAAGGAGCAAGCATAAATTTAAGAGATGTCAGCATGTCCTCGATATTAGTAAAGGTGAAAATCTGTTAAAGCTGCTTGTTGGTAAAATATTATCAACCTACTATATGCTCTACGCGGATGGGTGCAAATTAGGTACCAACATTTATCAGTTAAAGAGATCCAACGCACACCAAACAAGTTACCTAGCAACTCATTCAGAAAGAGCTATTTCGCAACCTCCCTTCTTACCTCCACTCAAATATTCAGTCTCTGTCATCAACATACCTAAAAGACGGATGGCAACAGCTGTTACTCCAGGAGTAGCGATGTCTTTCCTCCTACTCGTTCCTACTACACACACTTCTATTTTGATTATAAAATCTTAATTATTCTCCCCTCTACCTTTTCTTTGGCCTGCGACTATAAAGTTTGAGAAGATGGGACGCGCAAAGAAGGCTAAGAATAAGTCCAAAGGCAGACCCAAAGACAAGCCTAAGGGTAAGCCCAAGGTTAAACTGCAGGTCAAACCTGCAGTAGAAGACCAGGCAGCGCCTGCAAATAAGCCTGAAGACAAGCCAATACTTCCGAAAACACCGTCGCCGCAAGAAACCCGCAGCAAGAGGACCCCTTACAAGGGAGTTCTTCTTCCCCATCCAGGGGAATTACGGTTTGCGCCGCCGCCGCCATCGCCACCTGCAACAAGTCCTTTGGCCGCGGAACCGTCAGAGCTTGGTGGAAGGTCAGAAGATACTTCGTTACACCGATACCAACAAAGACACCGAAAGCGAGGAGGTATCGAACAGTCCATAATGATCCGAAGGAGACTTGAAGACGAGATGAGAAAGAGGCAAGACGAAGAAGAAAGGCAGGAGGAGGAAGAGGAAAACCGAATAAGAACCGCCCGAGTCGCCCAGGCCGCCATTATTCCTCTCCCGGGACCTCGAATTTGCCGATTCTGTGGTGTCACTTTTGATCCTAGGGCCAACAACGCCTGTCCTAACCACCAAAGTAAGGAAATTGCATGTTGTTTATTTATTATTTATTGAGTACTAGCTGACGTTGTATATACTTAGTTCACTATGGAGAATTGCAGTACGCATTCACATCAACTAAGAATCGGTGGACGATGGAAGAGGATATTCAAGTTAAGGAAAAATGGACATGTTGTCATAAAGAGAGCCAGGATAGCCCGGGATGTGCGTAGGGAGTACATCAGGCCTAGAAGCCAGGAAGCTTGGGCAAAGTCAGGTACCTGATCGAATAGCCCCACCTCCATAAATCTCCATACGGGGCCAATTAGGAGCTAATATTCAGCATGCTAAATCATTACGTCATTGTGCTGTAGTGGGCTTTACCCTGGTCCGATCAATCATAGTGCACCATGTACATAATGCAGATGCAGTTGCAGCTGCGATGGCTACCTGGTACATACATGTAGTATGTATGTAGATGCACGTAGTGTATGTAGTGTACATATGTAGTGTTGTACCTTAGGAGGATGCTAGGTGGTAGCTACCCAACTCTGCCAACCCCACCTTCACAAGACCAACTACTAGAAGTCTTTTTTTCTCTACCCGTCCGCATTACATCGTCTAATGGCCTGATATAAATATCTTGCCACCCTTTTAGAATATTATTCTGTCGCCTACAACTTATCTCGTTTAACATTCTATGTCTAACCTTTCCTCTCCCTTCCTCTTCTCCTCTATTTTTCATCAACTCTTTTCTAGTTCATCTACTGCGGCTACATATATCCCCTAATCACTGTACGAAGTTCGGAGAGCAGATTATTGGGGCATCATGATTCCCAGGACGGTGACCTCGAATGAGGTCTACATCTTACCTCTGAAAGACGATGGTTCTCCCGATATCCCTGGCGAGTACATATACCTGGCCCCAAGATCTGAGGACCCCATAACTATACGATTTACGATCGAGGGCACGTCGTCAATATGTAGACAAGGTAGCTTATGGGTTAATATCCCGGAACGGGGATCTGAGTTTTGCAGAGATCAGTTTCGCGAATACAAGTAGGCAAACTGTTCGCTTTCTAAGATCCTGGGTTGCTTTGTTAACGGCCCCCCCCAGACTAAATCCCGACTTTAATCGAACGATAGAGATCTCGATCCCTATCTTCGAAGCTGGTGCTTTCGCTTTCTACACCACCTACGCCGAACTGCCCGAGCTGTCTTCTGCCTTGAGCTCGAACACAGCGGGCACGGCTGAATTTAAAAAGACACCGCTATACTACATCGATGTCGCTCCTAGGCTATCGTTAGATGGCCGACCCTTGCCGTTACCAGCACTGTCAATATTTTCTATCATCAACAAGTTCATGGGCAAATACCCAACTGACTGGGAGAGGCATCTGCGAGGTATCAGCGGCCGCGGGTACAACATGATACATTTTACCCCCCTTCAAGTTCGAGGGGCTTCGAACTCTCCCTACAGCTTATATGACCAGCTTGGATGGGATCCGGAGTGCTTTCCTCAAGGGGAGAAAGATGTACAACAGATGGTGGATAGTCTGGAGCACAATCATTCCCTTCTCAGCTTAACCGACATAGTCCTAAACCATACCGCACATAACAGCAAGTGGCTTTTTGAACACCCAGAAGCTGGGTATAACCTCACCACTGCTCCTTGGCTAGAGTCGGCCTACGTTCTTGACACTCAACTTCTAGTTTTTGGCTCCAAGTTAGAGGAGCTAGGATACCCCAAGGAGCTCAAATCTACAGATGACCTCATTAAGATCATGGACGGCATAAAAAAGCATGTTGTTGCTGAGCTTCGCCTATGGGAGTACTATGCGCTTGACGTTGAAAGAGATGCGGATGCTGCAATTGAGTCCTGGGCTGCTGGACAGTCGAGTGCTCCTGAGGAAACCGAAAAGGGTGACCTGACTAAACTTGAGGTTAAGGAACAAGCCCTCTACCTAGTTCAGAATGGCCTAGTTGGGAATGACAGGCTTGGCGAACGCTTTCGGCGGCGTATCGACCCAAAAGTTTCGGCTGGGTTGATCGTTGCTCTCTTTGGGAAGTACAGGGGTGAGGCAGATGAGGCGGCTATCCGAACCAAAGTAGTTCAGATCTTGGATGTGGTTAATCTTCCATTCTACGAGGAATACGACAAGGAAATCGGGGAAATTCTCCAACAACTATTCAATAGGATCAAGTATGTCCGCCTCGACGAACATGGCCCAAAACTTGGTCCCATTGATCAGAACAATCCGTTGATTGAAACATACTTTACACGCCTAGATAAGGCAACGGCATCTGATCAATTGAAATTCGAGGACTTGGTTCTCGTCAATAACGGTTGGGTATGGGCTGGGAACGCTCTAGTGGACAACGCCGGTCCCAAATCGCGAGTGTACCTACGACGCGAAGTCATCATTTGGGGTGATTGCGTTAAGCTTCGTTACGGGAATGGCCCTGAAGATAGTCCGTGGTTATGGGAGCATATGACGAAATACGCCCGCATGTTGGCAAAGTTCTTTGCTGGTTTCCGAATTGATAACTGCCATTCTACCCCTATTCATGTTGCGGAGCATATCCTTGATGAGGCCCGTCGAGTCCGACCTAACTTATATGTCGTGGCAGAGTTATTTACAGGCTCGGAGGAGATGGATTACATCTTTGTGAAGAGACTGGGATTGAGCTCGTTAATCAGAGAGGCAATGCAAGCCTGGAGCACGGCAGAACTCAGCAGACTGGTACATCGCCACGGCGGGCGCCCTATTGGTAGTTTTGAAGTCGACGAAATCTCAAAGGGTCCGATTGGAAGTGCTCCAACGAGTCCCGGACTTGATGACTATTCTCCTCGAGAGGTCACTCGCCGAATCAAGCCTGTACCGGTCCAGGCCCTGTTCATGGACTGCACGCACGACAATGAAGTTCCTGCACAGAAGAGAGATGCTCGTGACACGTTACCAAACGCTGCCTTGGTGTGCATGTGTTCCAGTGCGACTGGAAGTGTGATGGGATACGATGAGATATATCCGAAACTTGTTGATCTCGTGAACGAGACTAGACTTTACACGTCTGAGTCGTCTTCTGCTAAAGAAATCAAGGTTGGCCCCAGCAAAGGTGGCATTGGAGGTGTCAAGAAGCTACTCAATCAAATACACACGCTGATGGGTAAAGATGGTTACGACGAAGCACATATACACCACGAGGACCAATACATTACCGTCCACAGAGTACACCCTGAGTCGAGGAAAGGATATTTCCTTATCGCTCACACTGCTTTTCCGGGCTACGGGAATGGCAATGGTGCATTTAGTCCTGTGCACCTTAGCGGCACAAAAGTGCGGCACTTGGGAAGCTGGATGCTAGAGGTTGATGCTAGCGAGGAAGCAAAAAAGGAGACCGAGGGCGACGACAAGTACCTTCGAGGGCTCCCAAGTCGTGTGCTTGTTGTGCCTGGTATTCGACTGGAAGTCAAGGCGGACGAGACAGTTGTCACGGTGCGCGACAAGTTCCCGCCTGGAAGTATTGCGTTATTTGAAACCTGGATTCCGGCTGCAGAGCATTCGTCAGGCTTAGATAACTACGTCACATCTGGGGCCAAGGAAGCGATGGCCGAGCTAGATTTGGTCGACCTCAACTTCCTGCTGTACCGCTGTGAACCTGAAGAGCTCGATGGTAGTGGCGGCAAAGATGGCACCTATGATATTCCGGGCCATGGCAAGGCCGTATATGCGGGCCTTCAGGGTTGGTGGAGTCTTCTGAAGGATATCATTAAGGACAACAACTTAGCTCACCCCCTTTGTCAAAACCTCCGCGATGGACAATGGGCCTTCGATTATACGGTTGGACGTCTTGAGAGAATAAGTCAGCAGCCGGAGTTTGCCGGTCTTACTAAACCCGCAGCTTGGCTTAAGGAGCGTATCGACGCAGTTCGAAGCATACCCAGTTTCCTTTTACCGCGATATTTTGCACTTATTATACGAACTGCATATAAGGCGGCTTGGGAAAGAGGTTTGGAACTTATGAATGAAAAGGTGCAGAGTGGTCAGTGGTTCGTTCAAAGCCTAGCCTTGGTCAGCGCACAAATGACAGGGCTGGTCAAGTCAGGTTCACTTTGGCCGAAGAAGTTTGTCCCCTCTCTGGCTGCTGGTCTACCACATTTCGCTGTTGATTGGGCAAGATGCTGGGGCCGTGATGTCTTCATCTCCCTTCGTGGTCTATACATCGGAACTGGCCGGTTTGAAGAGGCAGCGGAGCACATATTTGCATTCGCCAGTGTTCTCAAGCACGGTATGATTCCTAATCTTCTCAGTAGCGGGAAACTTCCGCGATACAATAGTCGGGATTCCATCTGGTTCTTTTTGCAGTGTATCCAGGATTACACTCGATATGCTCCAGATGGTGTGAGCCTCCTAACACGAAAAGTTAAACGACGCTTTTTACCATACGATGACGTCTGGTTTGACTCGGAAGATCCGAGAGCGTACTCAACAGAGAGCCTGATACAAGACGTTATCCAGGAGGCGCTGCAGCGTCATGCGACTGGGCTGAAATTCCGCGAAGCCAATGCAGGACCAAGTATTGACTCACAGATGCGCGACGAGGGTTTCAACATCGAGGTTAATGTAGACTGGTCAAATGGTATTATCTTCGGCGGCAACCAGTTCAACTGCGGTACCTGGATGGACAAGATGGGTGAAAGTGAACGCGCTGGCTCGAAGGGCATCCCCGGTACTCCTCGAGATGGTGCTGCTGTTGAGATTACCGGTTTACTTTACAGTACTCTGAAATGGTTGGCCAAGCTTAATGCGGAGGGCAAGTATCCATACAAGGGCGTGACGAAAGCCGATGGGACCGAGATCACCTTCTCGGCTTGGGCCGACCTACTTAAGTCAAATTTCGAAAACTGTTATTACGTGCCGGTCAACCCATCAGACGACGCTCAGTACGTTGTAAACCCAAATGTTGTCAACCGACGTGGTATCTATAAGGACCTCTACCGTTCCGGGAAGGAGTACGAAGACTACCAGCTGCGACCTAACTTTCCCATCGCCATGACAGTCGCTCCGGATCTCTTTGACCCTGAGCATGCTCTCGGCGCTCTCGTCTTGGCGGACAAAGTCCTGCGTGGACCAACTGGAATGGCAACACTTGACCCCTCGGACATAAATTACCGTCCCTTCTATATAAATAGCGAGGACTCGACCGATTTCGCTACGTCCAAAGGCCGGAACTATCATCAGGGCCCCGAGTGGCTCTGGCCCACGGGATTCTTCCTACGCGCGCTACTGAAGTTCGACCTCATGAGACGGGACACCCAGCATGGGCGTGTCGAGGCGTTCCAGCAGGTTACGAGGCGACTGAGTGGTTGCAAGGAGATGATCAAGCAGAGCCAGTGGGCAGGTCTTACGGAGCTCACGCAGAAGGATGGTCAGTACTGCAATGACTCGAGCCCCACGCAAGCCTGGAGCGCGGGATGCCTCATCGACTTGTACATGGATGCCGCCGACTACGGCATGGAGTAATCGCCACTTTCATAGCTTGGCTAATTAAATTGTCGGCCTGCTTAGGCTTCAAAGGCGTAAGACTTGGAGGGAGTTTGAAAAGCATCGTCTGCTATGCATCATACCTAAAGGAAGTTCCTCTAGGCACGACAGTACGGCTATACTAGAAGAGTTGAATATATATCGGAGGATAAGAGAGAAGACAAGGGTTTGTTGATACATATATACCTACGTATCATAAGGTTGGATAAGATAAGATGAGATGCGTACATACACGAATACGTGAATACGAAAATACGAAGTATGATTACGAAAACGTAGCATTTATTTATCGTCTTAGCCTATTCCCCTCTTCTTACTTCCCTATGGTCTAAGTACCTACATATAACTGCTGCCTACGGCGATAATGTACATGAAGAAAGTATTAGGCTATTTGATCGAGCTTGACGCTAGCTTCGTCCCGTACCCCGTGTAAACATAGACGGCGGGAGGTCGTTGGTTTATGTAGGTGTGAGGCTTGGCTTTAGTATCGTGACCGTGCGACCAATATGTCATACGTTTTATAGCTCTTAGAAAAGGAGTATTGGAGCTAGTCGAACTTAACTCGCTTAGCAATACATACGCGGTACTCGGCTGACAAATATTACTAGAATAGAAATATTACAATTTGGGTTCCATACCTACCTACCTACCTACCTAACGGATTGATGTCAACCATCTATTTGAGGGGGAAAAGAAAAAGGACAAAAAAAAAGGGAAAGAAAAGAGGAATATATATATCAGTTACTTACTTTGGTAACGCTGTTAGTAATTTAGTAAAATTAGTATGTGCTATAGGAGTTAAAGGCGATATTTGTTAACGTGAGGCAGACCGCTCGGGTAGCTAAGGTAGGAACGAGACATGATAGTTCAAAAGTGAGAAGAAATACAAAAACAATGTACACCATAAGTCTTTGTACATAATTAGTATTGATTCGCGGACTTGATGCGTAGAGAAGACAACAAGAATATGTCCACTATGCTCGTTCGTCGTTCCAGCGAGAAGACAGCTATCGCAAATCCATGCCGAGTCTTCCCTTTTCCCATATATATCTCCCGCTTAATTCGGGACTGTAAAAGTGATATCAAACCATCCAATGCTGCCCGACTCGGTTCCTTGTCTATCCAGATCAATCCCTACGCCTACCTATTCAAGAAACGGACAATAGGAACCCGCATGGTATAAGTTTACCAAGATCACCTTTCCGACCTTAACGCCCATAATGTGGAATTCGGAATCAATGATATGCTAAGGAATAATCCCACGGTTGTAGGACTAGTATAGTAAATGACGTGTTGTCGAGACGATACCATATCGGTATGTAAAAGGAGCGTCGTGTGATTGGCACAGACTAACATTCCGTTGATGTTATGTTGGTCATGTTCGTTGGGTGACATTCCACTTCTTGCGCTCCTTTTTTGGCTTTTCGGTATAACTGGCACCTCCAGAGCCTGACATGAACATGCCCGGATTAGAATAAGTACTATCCCTTGCACCAGGTCCAACAAGATTGCCTTGTGTGTTGATCGCGATGTTACTGGGAAGGCCCTTGCCAAGCTCGTACATTCGATCCTTTTTCCTTAGGTATTTGCGACGCCATACGCAAGCTCCAATCCAAATACCGGCGATTCCGACGACGATGATGACTATCATAACAACCCATTTCCAATGCGTTGAAATCCTAGGGAGCTACAGTTAGGATACCGAAGCAAACTAAGACACCGTCAATAAAAAATAAAAATAAAACTTACCAGTCTCCGCCGCCGTCATTGCTTCCTGAACTCCCTGTTCCGGTGCTTGTCGATGAAGATGACGACGTAGTAGCTGCAGCCTTTTCGTTACAGAAACTTGTGAACCAGCCTTGTATACTCGACAAACCCCCGTTGTCGTTAGTGCAAGCCGCATCGCAAACTCCAGATGCACCTTGCTTGAATGGTTGGAGGCTATCGTAGGCACAAAAGCAGGTGTCATAGGTATTTTCATCGGCAGCTGCGGCAGCAGGAGGCACGCAAGCTCCATTAGCATCGTAAAGGGGACCGCATTGACCTGCACACGAAGGCAGAGACTGGAAGGGTACGATCGTGGTTACCGGGGGCGTTTGTTGAGCTGATGAAATTTGTTAGTAGAGGAACATTGCATTGGAAGGTTCCTATTGGACTCTTTTGAATGGGACGAGGAAGCATACCCATAGCGAGGTGCGAATGCGAAATACCGAAATATATTGGACGTAAGGATAATCAACTGTATTGGACCTGGATGTTGAGAAGAGCTGGCAATTCGCGCTGCAAACTCCGACTCGTACGTTTGGAAGTACACCGTGTTTAACCCTCTAGTATTCAATGGGATACAACGGCGTAACGGTATTTGTGCCAGTCACCGTCGTCTAGAACCAACCAAGTTTCCTAATCACTAATCCAAGTTGTTTATACAATTATACTTGGTCGCTCTGATACAAGGGATTCGAATATTGCTATTGTGACAATATGAGTTGTCGAGACTCTAAAGGCAAGTCAAATGGGTGAAAAATAGATCCGGCAAATCGGCAAAGGGGTTGTCGGATCTATCGTATTAGCGGCGGTACGCTGCAGGATGCAAAAAGAACGAGAGATCGTCTCTTGGCTGTTGTCCTTCCTTTTTTCTCTTCTCTCTCTCAATACTGTAACATTTTCGCGTTTGTTTCTCCTCCAGATTGTATCAAACGAATGTGGTGGATCGCGTTGTTAGATTGCGTGGAAGTGCTTGTCGCGGGGGGGGAGAAAGGTTGAAGAATGGGATGAATGGAAAAGTAGGGAACGACTGGAGCAAATGTGTGGTATTGCCGAACGAATCTAGATCTGGGAGTGTGACCTGTGGACACTGGAGGGAGGTAAAATGGCTGCGGGACCACTGCCAATGGGCTAGAACTGGACAAGAATTGGACAAGAACGAGAGGGAAAAAGAAGGTTGTAAACCTTGAATCTGTCAGCCAAGAGGAACGGATAACGGCTCGAGAGGTGGCTTGGGCTTCCTTGGATCGTCCCAGATTGAGTGAGTATGAAAATGGAAAGGCCGCTAAAAAAGCAACGGACAGAACGGAACAGAACGGCGCTTCGGTGCAGTGAAGCTAGTGGTTGCTGACTAGCCATTCCATGTCAGCTCGCTCTTGTTGTACATGTAAGTACACACGGCGGCAGTGGCATTGGCATGAATACATTAGATGTACGGAATATGTAGTTCTTGTAGCATTATGTGCAACCATGCTAAACCCAATGCGGTATATAGGTAGGTAAACTCTGCTGCAAGTTCCCGCTATGATTTTTTAGGCAGTTTAATGTAAGCAATAATGGTGACACACGTTGCATCATTTCCCTGTATCCCATACATCCAAAAAACATATTGTGGTTAGGAGGTACATGTAGGTATCTTCAAATCTACCTATGTACATCTTGGGGGCAGCATGGATATATGGGGCAGCATGGAATAAGAAGGTCGAGCTAATTATATCCATAGGAAGTCCTAGCTTCCTGAAGATCATCTAGATTTACCTACGTAACGTAGACAGTAAGCTGGGTCCCTACCCAAATCATTCCTACCTGTTGATCTAGGTAATAAGGTCTAGGTTAATAAGGTAAGTCGCAGAATAATTATTCATTTTCAATATTCTCCATGGCATGTGACCGCGTCATGCATAACTCGCTCCCTTCCTTCATTCGATCCCCATGGATGCACATGCCTACGGTTGCAAGAGCTTTCTCTTGTTTTCCCCATTGCCAAGCGACTGCCAATGCGAATGCGTGGTAATATTGACATAGACAGGTATATTTAGAATTGAATAGAGTTCGACCATTTGTCACACCTTTTGATAAGGTTATCATGGAAGTTCCCGGTTGCCGATTCCCGATTGACAAGAGAATACCAAGACAAGCTAGCCTCGTGTTTTCGAAATTTGAACTTTCCAGCTTGTCAGCTCTAGCCGTTCTAGCCGTTTTAGAAAGTAATGGATCAGGTACTAGCGCTTAGCCTAGGATAGTATCTTATACTGTCTATTTAGGAATAACGCATGTATGGGAATAATGCATCAGGGGAATGTAAATGAAGTGAGGACCAACAACACAACTACCTTCATGCTACGGAATACATAGTAGGAAACCTACTTCGAACCTGTCTAGGACGCCATGCTACGCGATATATGTTGTTCTTTAGCCTGGCATACTAGCTCATATTGTTCATCCTGTAGAACAATAATATCCTCCTCATAAGAACAACCCTCGAGCCGTTTGGAGGGCAACGTTAACCGCTCCGCACACCGAATCCTCCTATAAGCCCGCCATCTTTTACCTTTAACCAAAAAGTTTGCATCCAACACTGGCTCAAGATAGATCATGGGGATTTCCCACTGTCCCGTTGGCGTTTGAACATCGCATTGCAAAGCCGCAAGCAATTTGTTACCCTCCAATCTTTCCAGTAATCCGCACTCGTCGATGTCTTGTTCATTGATAATATTAAGACTGATGGAGAGTCCGATGTTCGTCATCGAGAATGGCGATAGGTCCCACGGCGCCCAGAGACCTAAAGGCGGAGTGTCTGCAAAGTCAGAAGGCGACTGGGCCAAGAGTCCGCTGCTCTCATAGTTTCCATGCCACACGAATATGGTCATGTCGAAGGATGACTGCATAATTTCACGCTGTAGTCTCTTAAATGCATTCTTTGCCCCTTCTCCATACAGGACCGGCATATTGACTTTGAAGATACCCATTAAGCAATACGCAACATCTTCAGTTCGCGTTGTCTGTCGTCCAGACGCCCATTTCATCCGCTCCGCAATACAGAAATTGCGCAAAAGGTCTCTATCCTTCAGCAAGTCCTTATCAATCCTGGTAGATTCAGCAAGAGCATCAAGCAGGTCGTCTCCATTTTGGATCTCTGACCAATCTGAAGCGAGAAAGCATCGTCGTTCGGGAGCGATACATTCTTGTAACGTCCATCCCCTTGTTACCCAGCGAGTCGTCCGCAATCGTGCAAGAAGTTGGTCTCTAGTCACTTCCGCTCTTCCCAGTGAGTTGCTAGCTTCATCTGCATACTTGTGCACGTCTTCGAGATATATAAAGCACACTGCAGAGTCATAGTAATATTTATATGTAGAATTGATCGCTTCAGATAAATCGGCGCTGTTACGCTTGTCAATACAGCATGTGTCCATCCATGCATATCCAAAACCATACGCCAGCGCCGTCTTGCAGAAGCGGGCCATCTTTGCCCAGCCCGCTCTCCCTTGTAGGGCTTCCTGATCCCCTCGTAACTCATGGAAAAGGATTTCATCGGATCCCCACGTATGTGAGAGAATCGCATATGAAAGTCCTTTCACTTGGGCCTCATTTAGGTATTCGAGGGTAAGTTTCTCGGTATTTAAAAGCCACATCGGGTTGGCATAGTTTAGATAGTCGTATAAAAAACCAAGATATTAAACCATTTATTTCGTATACATGTACCTCATCGTGGACTTTGGTGTCTAAAATTCTGCCTACCCCGGCCGCCTTTCATTGCATGCGTGAAGCACAAATCCTTTAGTCGAGAAGAAACCCACTTGGATCTTATATCACATCAGCCACCTATTTGACCATTTCAATTTCTTGTACCATGTGGTGTAACCAGAGTTCTGGTCAAGGGTGTACTTGTACCATATTTTGGAAAAAATAGGGGTTAGGTCATAGTTAACAGCCGTACAATCCAAGAGCGCTATAACTAAAATATTGGGATACATGGAGGATCACGTAAATATTAGGATACCTATCTACGATAGAGAATTCAGTATAACGCCAGATATTATACGTACCCAAATAGGTCTAGGTACATTAGGTAGGTATTTACATGGTCTAGTAACGAATCATATAATCGTCTCGGACGCCACTAACGTAATACATTGATTAAGAATAATAGAAGGGCCGTACATGTATAGTTACTAAGCATCAGAATTAACTTGCCGTCGAGGATATCCTTCATCCCCTACCCCTTATAATACCCCTCAGTCCTACGTTCAGCCGCGTCTAGACAATCCCTTGTGACAGTCGTGTCCCTAGGGACGAGCCTAACCTTGAAGTCCCTAGGAATTGCAACCAGTGCCGATTTTATAGCGTTGTAGTCCACATAGTCCGTGTTAGGAGCCTCCGTTTCGCTTGCTTCAACCCTATAGGATGAGATAAGGCGAACTAGAGCTGCGTACAAGAGTCGAGATGCGATATATTGGCCGGAACAAGCGCGAGCCCCGGCTCCAAAGCTCAAGTGGCTGAGGCCGGTAGATTCGTGCTCTGTAGGCGGGTCGAGGCTCTTAAGCCATCTCTCAGGGTTGAATTTCCCAGCACTAGCGCCAAAATGGTCGATATCTAAACAGTATAAGTGGCCGTATGAGTAAATGATTTCTATGAGCATGCCATACTTACCATGATTCCCTGCTTGGGCGTTGATTAAGATCATCGTCTTAGGGGGGATGATAGCACCATTCCAATTCACCTCCGTTACTGTCTTCCGCGGAAGACTCATAGCGCTGACGGTGTAGTATCGCCCTGCCTCCTTAATAATCGCGTTGATATATGGGACCTTCTCTTGTACGTAGCAGTCCGTCCAGGCATCATGGATATCTGGATAATGTCGCTTGATGTCTTCGTATGCGCGGTCCTGCCAAACCTGTCCTTCCTTGGTCGACAAGGATCCGATTGCAGAAGTCAACGTTCCGGGGATGGTCTCGAAACCACCCGAGACTAGAGATAGGCAGATTGACGAGACCTCTACTCCGGTAAGCTTCGTCTCCTCGTCTTTCAAAATAGCGGCAGAGATACAAGGCTTGTCGGTGCCTCGCTTTATCATTTCCCGGACCTTGTCCAAGAGAAGTTTCAAGTACGCGTCGCGTCGTTCCCGCAGTTCCTTAGATCGAGCACTCTTCTCATTGTTCGGGAAGTATCGTAGAATCGGGACGTAGTCTTGCATATTTTCAGATGCGCTGCGCAAGAGTGAGATGGCCGAACCAACGGAAAGAATCTCGCGTAGGAGATCGTCATAAACGGCGTCCATGCGAATGCCATAACAGAGGGTCAGTGTCGTGTTAAGAGCATATCTCTGGATGTATGGTCTCACACTGATCTCAACCTCCCCGTTTTGGCTGCTCTTATAGAGATCCCTCAAGATACAGTAGCTTTCCAAGTCAAACATAGGATGGTATCCTCTTAAGGCAGGCCTACTCAGCGCTGTCCCCGCAGCTTTGCGCTTCCTGTTACAACTGTCATCCCAAGGCGAGGAGCCGATCGTGAAACCTTGGGTACTACTAATGAGCCCGTGGAATGTATACAGCTTTGGCCGGTCAATTACTGCGTTCTGATGGCCCACCAACATCTTCTTGCAGTCATCGAAAGAATTCACGACTACGGCGCGAGTATTCCCCAATTTGATCTGAAAAATGGAATAGTTATATTGACGCCACCATTTCTCGCAGACGCTGGCATGATCCTCGCCAAGCCTAAGAAGGTGGCCGAAGATTGGAACTGCGCCGGGAATTTCTGGTATCCCCCTGATACGGGGAATATCTGTGCCAAATGCGACCTACCTGGGTTTAGCGAAGCTTATAACAAAGTATACTTGAAAATTCAGCTTACAATAGATACCAAGTAGGATATTAATACTATTATTACAGCAATAAGTAAAGGTCCGGCACTTTGGAAGTCCATAGCTAAGTCGTGCATGGAGGTAGGCATATTGAGCTTAGTTACAACCGAACACAGTTAACTATAGAAAGGCCATAAATAATAAGCCGAGGAATACCTTAAGTAGATACCTAATACGATATAATAGTATGTTGTGAATTTAGAATATCCGTGCTAAAGGTGTATGCAGCTTTGGTTGATTGATATTACCTGCAAGTTATGAATAGGGGCTTCACATGCCACATGCGATATCTAAACTACCCCTCACGGCGTATGTGCCTATTACGTGTACCTTCCTTGCCGTAACTCTTATCTCGTTGCAACCAAAGCCACCAAGATGCTGGTCTTGCCGTTATCAATATGCCATGCGTTAAAGGCCCGCAATCGGGTCGGACCTAAGCGGGGCCATTGCCGGAAAAGCCGACAATGTAAATTGTGGGGCAGCATCCGGATGGAACTGAGGATCCGGGTTAGCGACATATTCAACAATTATATCCCCGGCCCTTGCATATCCTACACAGAAACTTGCATATCTACACGGATACTGAGAGAGGTAGGTAATGCATTATACGTTCTCACCCATTCTTAATCTGGGCTGAACGAAAGTCAATTACCTGTGTCGCCTCTAAGAAAATGTACCACGAATGCCAGTATAGCCGTTCAGCAGGAGGCTTGCTTAAATCTATAAATCATTTCATATAAGTCTACTTTTAGTATTTGCTACCCCACTCCCAGTTTTGTTTCTTTATATATACACCTGCTCTCATAGTCACTCTGCCATCGCCCCTGTGAGTGTAGTTAGTGAATCTGTCACCGTCCACGTCTTCAGCACCCAACGATACCATAAAATCTGCTATCCACCGCGCTGATTCGAATCTCGCTATCACCATGAGGCATTTTTCGAAATATTTCTCATTGAGCGAAACACCGTGCTCGGCCAATAGAGAGATCACCGCTGGGCTTTTTTGGATAATGGCACGGTACAATGCCTCAACGCCCACTGTGCATCTAAGATTTATAGGATGAGGCCATGGTTTTGTATGCAATTGTGAATCTTTCTTCCAAAGCTTGTTCATTAAATGAGTTTGACCCCCTTCCGCAGCACATATGAATGCTGTTTCAAGAGATTTAGGGTCGGTGCTGTGCGCAAGTATAAGATCAACCACTTCTTCATGTCCAAGCCTGGCAGCCCTTGCAATAGGGAGCCAGGATTCATAATACATATCTGCATTTCCCCCACTGTCCACAATGGCACCATGATCGAGAAGAATTCGGACCATACGAGGATTCCCCCTTGACGCCGCTCTACATAGCATGGGGATGGAAAGCCGGTGGCTTGGGTCATGCAAAGCCATGTTTACATCGATGCCACCGTCTAGAAGCACCTGTACTATGTCTGGTTGATCGTTGACCACTGCGGTGTAAAACATTAAATCGCCGAACTTGCCGAAGTCCGATATTTGTTTACCTGTTGCCTGTAGGAGTGACTGAACAAAATGAAGACGCCCAAATTTGACTCCATCGACTATCACTCGAAAATACTCGGCTTTGGCGGGAGATGGGCTATACTCGGGTTTCATAAGCAACTGGACGACGTTATCGTGTCCTCCTCGGACCGCTGCCCCTAACGCACTTATCGCACTTATCGGGAGTCTTCTGTCGAAACCATTCCAGTCCTCTCCGTTATCATCCCGACAAGGATCCGCACCGCAGTCCAGAAGATAGAGAACGATTTGTAGGTGGCCCCGAACGGCAGCGATTTCTAGGGGCTGTCCAAAATAGGGGTTAAATACGTTGACGTCTGCTTGTTGCTCTTCCAGCAGTGTCTTAACGAGTGGTAAGTTACCAATAACAATAGCACCCATGAGGACATTATGAGCATTCGTTTTCGTACTAGCATTATTTTCCTTCAATGAGTTTAATATCCCATGTGGGTATCTATCAGCAATCGCCTCAGCAATCATCTGATGCTGCTCGGCCTGCTGTTCCTTTGATGGCTTGGTTAAGTCATCCAGCACTTGATTCACTCTGGCGATGACGAATAGGGCATCGTCTCTATTGATTTCCTCTGAGCGTGATTTTACTAGAAGAATTCTGGCTTTCGGGGTTGTCGGTATAAGGGAAATCAACCCTGGTATAACCCAATGGTTGATATCTAAGATTTGTTTATTGCAGATGGCGAATAGTATAGCAGAGTTAAAGTTTTCTGAAAAGAAAAGAAAATACAATGTCAGATTCGCGTATATCGGATATTGCTGTGCGTTATATTACTCACTATTGACGGATCGAAGTATGAAAGCTCTGAAGATACCAATGGAAATTATCAAATGCTCGATAACCAAATTGAAGATTTCATTTGGCAGCGCTTCTATGTCGAACATCTTGATCTAATTTATCGGATACTGTATAACACCTCACGGAAGGAGAAATGCGAAAGGCTGCATATGCTAAAATGTTGTATAGGAAGATGTTTCCTCTATCACCACTCTAGGAGACTATTCTTTGACATGGAAGGTTAATTGGCCACCGCCACCAAGTTTCCAGCTTTTTAATATACAGGTTTGTGGCGCACACCGATGTTACATCTTCTGAAGTGGCCCCTCTGAGGTGCCAGCGCTGACTTGCATAGGGCTACGCTGAATTTCCCCTATTACCCCCCCTTTGTTTTTTTTAAAAAAAAAGAAAAAAGAAAAAAAGAAAAAGAAATGCAGCTAAATTTTGATTATTACCTACGTACCTAGGTACCTAAGGTAGATATGTTTAATACCTGGGCTATTAGTATACATCTCCATCATAGGTCTGGAGTAATTGACGGCCAACTCCACTCGCCTGTTCCGCATGCCAATATATCTCCGCGAGTTCGTCGAGAATCCTAAGACTTCTCTCTACATCATCCCTGGCCGCCTTCCTTGTGGTTTCCAGTGTAGTATGCCTTAAACTGCGCAGAGCTACTGTCAGGGACAGAGATGCCGCATACGGGATGAAGGGAAGTTTCGATATATGAAGATCGAGAAGCGATGATATTTGCTGAGCGCAATACTTATGTCTAACTCTTGAGCTTTGCATTATCAGAGGCGATGTACTTTCAGAGCTACGAGCTTCGATGGTTTCGATTTGGGCTGGACGGTAGGATATGACGCCGATAACGTTATACAGTAGCTCTAGGCATGCTTGCGTGGATGGACGCATGATTTGAGCCTTGCAGTCTTTTACCAACTCTTCAAACTCGGGCCACGATGCTTCCCAAACGCAATTTTCTTTTGCTATCTCATCGGGCGACCCCGCCTGATACAGGTCTAGGACACGGTTAAGCATCTTACATAGACGAAATAGTAACGTAAGACCTGGAGATAACGATGTCATTATATCGTCGTCTTGTGTTGGTAAATATATCTCGTTAATGTGAATCATTGTTGGCCGACCGGTTATCATGGCAACGATCTTATCAAGCGCAAACAGGGAGCAAAGTAACTCCACACGGCGTGCTTCCGAAATCACGTCTCCAGGCCGCGAGGAGTAGTGTAATCCGGAAGAATAAGCAAAATGGACGGCTAGGCCGCATAATCGGGCAACTTCGTCGTCGCCATCTGGACCATAGGAGTGAAATGTCATTAAGGCGAGGACCTGGACGAGCTCTAATCTATCGTCGACGAGACCGATATCTTGAGCTATCTTTAGAACGCCGAAGAGTCTGTCAGCAAAATCACGTGGCGTCTTGAGAGCGAATTGCCCATCTTCAATCTCCGGAAGGTTGAGGTACTGTCTAGCCGATGGGCTCTTGCAAGCGGCCAGACAGATAGCCTGCCTTAATATGATGGTGGCCGGATTCTCTTGATCGACAGGGCTGGTAAATGCCTGAGTGCTGAAGTCGACGATGGGGAGGATAGGGTGGACTTCGTGCTTATATATCTCTATGATGGCATCAAGATCTGGCTGTGGAGGGAGAACCTGGAGACATTCGATTTCCAAATATGGTAATACTGCTTTTACCACCATTGGTAAGTAGCCCGCGGCGACACCCGGGCGCCGCTCGGAGGGTGGTGCCCTCATATCCTGGAAGGAAGGGCGGAGGATACGCGATGGAGGGAGCTGCTGTGCCGGGTCCATCTTTACACCTGAAGCCGTGCAAATAGAGAGGAAGAGGGAGTGCGCTGACGAGGCCCCAGCGAAGGGGGCTGTGAATCCTGAAGCTAGTGTAGATGGTAAAGCTTGCTGATTATCGTTATCAATTTCTCTCGAGTCGAATGATTCGGGCGGCTGTTCACCCACAGGATGGACAGGTCCCTCCTGTTGCACCGGGGTCTCGTTGCTAATACCATGGCTACATTTCCGTTTTCCTCTCCTGCATGGATCACAAGCTTTCTTTACTTGTTGGCGTTTGGACCCGCTGCCATCGCCATGGTCTCCGAGAAATCTAATCCTCTTCATGTCGTCTTGTGAGGAAAGTGTAGAAATTCCCACGGAGATCAATCGAGAGAAAGTCCGCAGGGTCCAGCGGTGTGTGGACCTTCTTAATGCGGCAAGTCCGCAGATCGTCAGTGTGATGTAACGCTACGCTTTTAGCATTAATAATCTACTACCAACATCTACATTGTATGATAGGGAGAGCATACGGACCTTGAAATGTTCTTGGAGCTGAGGTTAATAATGTCTCAAAATGATCCAAGTAGTTTTCTGGGCCTCTACGGCGCGTGTAGGCATTTATATAAAGGGTGGTGAAGTTAAGATGCGAACATTGATTCTGATATCGATTCCTCACATACACTCAAGAAAGCCCAGTCGAGATTAATAAGACTTTTAGAATATTTTCATATTTCAATATGCATCTCTCAACCCATACATGGATGCGACCAGAACCTCTTGAGGTGACTCTAAAAAGAGCAGCCTCCCTAGGCTATACGTCAATCGAGCTCGCCGGCGAACCCTCTAGATACGCTGTTAGCGAAACACAGTCCCTATTAAAGAAATACAACTTGTCTTGTTGGGCCACTGTGACTATTATGTACGGCTCTCGAGATCTTTCTGCCGTGGATCCAACTCTGCGAGAGCAGACGGTTGACTACATGAAGAGTGTCGTCGACTTAGCTGCTGGATTAGGGGCAAAGACAGCGACCGTGGTCCCCTGTACCGTAGGCAAGCTTCACCCGGTGGCGAGCGCGTCTGAGGAATGGGGATGGGTCGTGCAGGGTGTACGAGAGGTGGCGCAGTACGCCTTACAGAAGGGAGTACGCATAGCTATAGAACCTCTCAACCGATTCGAGACGTACATAATCACCAATACGTCCCAGGCATTGCGGCTCATCGACGAGGCAAATGTACCGAATCTCGGTATCGCCTTCGACCCCTTTCATCTGAATATTGAAGAACCGGATCTAATCGCCGCGCTGCGGAGGTGCGGTAACAGGCTTTATGACTTCCACCTCGGTGAAAACAATCGTCTCTCCCCAGGTGACGGTAGCTTGAACTGGCCCTTGATCGTCCAGACGCTACGCGAAATAGGTTACGATGGTGGCCTGGCGCATGAAGCTATGCCACCAATTGATCGGTCTTCGGGTGGCCAGTTCGGGCTGAAGCAATTAGAAGCCGAACCGTGGGATGTAGATGCCGGGACTCTGCAGTTTCTAAAAGACCATGCGAGCGGTGTATTAAGGGATGACTACTATACTGCCATGGTGGCACGGACGGCGGAAACAATTCTCCCACTGATCAAATAGATGTATTCCGTAATGGCTAAGGACTTTGAGTCTCAAAACTTTACAATAGCATCAATTAGTAGCAAATTGAATAGAGTTGTTGAATAGTTGCACAGGAAATAAAGCCTTAGACTTGATTGGTCAATTACATTACCTTAGGTAGGTACCTAGCATGGAAAGTCTAGCATGATTGCCAGGCACAATTCTCGAATCCTTACATTGACGTCATATCCCTACCTCTAGGTACGGAATAGTGTTAGTACAAATTAGTGCAGAGCATGCATAAAGTGCAAACGCCCCGGGGCTAATCCGTCTTGTCCGGCGACTTATGCAGGCAAAAGGACTTAAGACACAGATATCCGAGGGTCTGCATAATGCTCCCGCGTTCCATGAGGAGATTTGTAGCACCTTTCCTACCATACGTGGTATGCAAGGCTGGATATGCCATTACCAAAGTTGAAATGTGTTAGTATCTGTTGTCGAAATACCTACCCAATATATATAGCATAGGATGTTCCAACTCGAACATGTGTTTATTAATCTTCAAATTTGGTCATACTACTCCATTCTGACTGTGCCAACTTGATTATTATTCACTTGACTAACAAGTACGCTTACGATGGATGCACCAAATACAAAACCCTATCATTTACCCTCAGATGCCGTCTGGTTCAGTCAGTAATCCGACTCTACCCCTATTACCCCTTACCCGTATAGCTCCTAACCCACATGTAGTTACCGGATGCTCTTCTGGAATCGGTCAATCTTTAGCTCAGTTTATCACGCAGACCTCAAACCGCGTAGTAGCTACCGCACGCAAACTATCAGCTCTATCAAGCCTCCCAACGAACGACCGGGTCCTCAAGCTAGAGCTAGACGTCACTTCTATCCCTAGTATCGAAGCTGCTCTCCAAGCTACGGTAGAGAAGTTTGGTCGCATTGATGTCGTAGTTAACAACGCAGGCTACACCCTCGTTGGTGATACTGAAGGTGCGGAAGACCAGGAATCCCGGGCAGTATTGGACACGAACTTCTGGGGTATGGTAGACGTGACTAAGAGAGCTCTGGGAATCATGAGGGATGTGAATCCCAAAACTGGACAACAGGGTGGTGTAATTCTGAATCTGAGTTCTATGGGTGGCTGGTCGGGATATCCGGCGTGCTCTTTTTATCACGCCAGTAAATTCGCTATGGAAGGATGGACGGAGGCTGTGGCAAAGGAGTTGCCGGCCTCGTGGAATAGTAAGTACATTCCAAGTATTTGATGTAGTCACTTACACTACAAGTAGACGGCCTGCTAACGCGCAAAATTATTTAGTTCATTTATGCAACATCGAGCCTGGGGGCGTAAAAACCAACTACGTGACGTCTTCTCTCAAACACATGGCCAAGAGGCACCCAGCTTATGCTGACCCTAACTATCCCACGAATGTCTTGCTAGCCTACATGCTAAATGAGGAACACCGCAGCTTGTGGTCAGAGCCGAGTGCTCTAGCCGCAGCAATGTATCAGGTTGTAAGCCGCGGGCAGCGAATCCCGATTCGGGTCCCGTTGGGAGCCGATTCTTGGGGGATGATAGCGAAGGACCTCGAAGACACTAAGAAAGACCTAGACGACCTGAAAGAGATCAGCTTAAGTGTAGGTGATCCGAAGCAGCTGGAGGCTATCAACTTTTTGAAGTAGTCTAGGTGATGTGAACACGATTGTCTCGCAGTTAAGTTTCGTCATCTTGCTTTGCAATACGATTGGAATTATTCAACAGTTGCAAATATTTAATTATCTGAATTCTGGTCACGAGATTGACGGTCCAAAATATCCACAGAGCCGACATTGTAAATGCGCCCTTCGGCACTCGACAACAATACCATCGCTAGGCAACCAGATAACTACCATGGTCCCCTAGCAACGCAGGATAAACTTATAATATGCAATAACTGCCCCTCCATCACTCCTGACCTGAAGATTCATGCCAAAGAGGCCGTGGCCTAGTGGTCTGAAGGTAAGACGGCGTAGATAAAATGCCTTCGCGGTGTTTTTCGAAGGTTCCGGGTTCGAGCCAGCGGCAGGGCGGCAAGATTGGCCTGCTTGCTCTGGTCAAGTGTGCGCAGTTCGAACTTTGGAGCCTGCTTTTTTAATATTCATAATTTACTTTTCCTTTTTGTTTTTTCTTAGTAATTATCACCATGTAGCCTGTTAGATTTCTTGATGGGAAGTAGGACGTTCTGCTATTATAACACCCGTCTTTTAATTATTTTAAAGTCAAAGCTCTAATAATCTAGTAGAATCAAGATTCGAGATAGTAAAAAGACGAATTGAGTAGGCAGCTTTATTTTTCCATGATATGGGGTAAGAGTAATACATCTATCTAGCTTCTCTTGCATCTTTATCACCACTCATGACGTTTCCGCTATTGGTAGCAGTCTGATATATCCTTTAAAAATTAATATACGTAGCACTATGAAATCTCGTCATGATTTATACCTTATCTATATAGGCATACTGTCTCTTGAAGTTCATCAAAGCGTGCTCGGGTAATCCGGCGCGTCACACAAACGATGCATATTATGGTCTATTATAGAATCATTAGCGCTCAGACCTAACCTAGTGTAGTATATTGATCTTATTCGTTAGAAACTGACAGTGAACCCCTCAACGGATTGACTACTTTCAGGTATCCAGCTTGACGTTATCCGCGGGGTATCTGATCTCATTTGCAGATATCCTCATCGCGCCTTGACGATTCGCTAAAGATAATAAAGCCATTGACGTGATCCTGCTAGATATTGATACAACCATTATCCTTGGCGTGGGAGTCCGGTCTGGTATTGGAACCCCTTTGTATAAAGATAGATAGAGGTTCGACATATTCTAGAGTTTAACTTAAACATAGGAGCAGCTATAATCGAGCATATACCCATCAAAATAAATATATAGTCGTTTACTTCTTCCAATTCACACATCACTATGGCACCCCCCGCAGCAGATGTTGATGTGCAATCCGACGTGCCGGTGCAGCAGACTACCAAGAAGTCTGTCGGCCCCGTTCCCGTCAAGACATTGACTAGCTCTAGACTTGACGGACCCCTGAAATATTCTGGGAGTCTCGACTCGTACGAGCAATTTGATGTCACTAAAGTCATCGGCCGCGAGTTTAGCAACCTTCAACTGAGTGAGATTCTACATGACGACACTAAGATTCGCGACTTGGCAATTCTCGGTACGTAAGGCTATGAGATAGATATTAATGGAAGTTTGAGTTCCTGACCAGTAACAGTTTCCGAGAGAGGTGTTCTATTCTTCCGAAACCAGGACATTAACATTGACGACCAAAAGCTGTTGGGTGACCGACTTGGACAACTCACTGGAAAGCCAGAAACGTCTAAGCTCCATCGCCATGCCCTCTCAAACAGTAAACGCGGCATCCCTGTTGACGAGAATGGCCGTCTTGACGATGAAGTATCTATTATCTCTTCCGAGCAGAATCGTAAATTCTATAAGGACCGATATACGGCATTTTCCAAGAAAATCGCCAGTCATGGCTGGCATGCAGAGTATGCACTGAGATGACCCTGAGTAATAAGAAATTTGTGTTGCTAATAATAGAGATAGTATCACGTTCGAGAACATCCCTTCAGACTATGCCATCCTCAAGATCATCCAGCCGCCCGAGGACGTCGGTGGTGATACGCTGTGGGCATCGGGCTATGAAGCTTACGACCGTCTTTCTCCGCCTATTCAGAAACTAGCGGAGAGCCTAACCGTCACACACAACCAACCGGGTTTCGTCAAAGTACAGAATGACTTTGGCGAAGAGCTTATTGACCAGAACCGAGGCTCTCCTGAGAACAATGGTCTCGACTTCAGGGCAGAGCAGTAAGTTAAATATTCTAGACTGGTCTGACCGAATATTTTCAATTGACTTTGCTAGTCCCCTTATTCGCACAAACCCAGTAACTGGGTGGAAAAGCCTATTCGGCGCAGCCGGTCAGGTTGAGAACGGATGGATCAACGGGGTTACCGAGCGGGAGAGCGAGATACTCAAAGACTACTGTGCGTCACTAGATGCCCAGTTCCAACCAGATTTTCTAACAGTATCATAGTCCTCCAAATAATCGTTGAGAACCATGATCTTCAGGTGCGATTCAGGTGGAACAAGAATGATCTTGCAATTTGGGACAAGTGAGTAACTTGATCCAGATCCGATATAGGGGTAACTGACAACCTGCGTCTAGCCGCTCCGTCTTCCACACGGCTACCAAGTAAGTTATATTCCTACAATAATTAGCCACATTATCGCATGGAAAAGTTAACACCAAGCTAGTGACTACGTCGGAAAGCGTCAAGGTAACCGAGTCGTATCTATTGGCGAGAAACCATACTTTGACCCGAATTCCAAGTCACGCCGTGAAGCACTTGGGCTTCAGGAGTCCTGATCCGGGTCAGATCTGAAGTGTAGCAACTAAATTTGGGCCGTTGACTTTAGGAACTTTGGAGATCAATCATAGATAGTTACCAATTAATGTGTTGCGTCTCCTTTTTATAGTAATTGAACGGATAACTCGCATCTTTGTTTCGTTTTGGATTTCCCTCCAATATACAAGTACGTATGCAGTATGGCGAGATGTAAATAACTTCTAGGTAGGCTTCACTAGTGACTTTATTTAGATATACAATGTTTGTTTGCCCTGCACCTGTATCAAAGGTACCTGAGCTAAGAGGGCAAAACGGCGCACGGGCCAATTATCTAGGTCCTAACCTTACCTAAGGCAGGCTGGCGGGGCAGAAGTTGGAATTGAAGCATCAAATTTGAAGGTTCGATGCTAGTGCCCCACCTTAAAAGAAAAATTGGTGGACCCCTACCTGCCTTTTTAGAGCTTCTACCCGCGCCTCGACATAACTTTTCGCAGGTCACAACCAAAGCTTCACCTTTTTTCGTCGTGAGAATTTCTCCTTCTTTCCACAACATCTACCCCCAGCGCACTTGGTGACACCCAGTCAATTACTCCAAAGCTTTGTCGCCTTTGGTCCCCTTCAATTGAAATTATCCAAGCTATAATTGCGAGTGGTGGTTTTCTATTCTCATCTATCTCGTCGCATCTTGCGCGAGGCCTTCGCGAGTGACTCCCCGCCGCGACTTGTTCTGCCCCGCGGCAACCTATCTCTTCGCGCCTTGCCACTCAAACCCTCCTACTCTATCCTAACTTTTACGTCAAACCACGGTGTTTACCTAGTTTGTATCGCAGTGCCGGCATTCAATCACATATTCCACTATTTGTTTTGACCAGGCTACTTTAAAGCTTTCGAAACCTCCCCTCTAGCCAGTATGAGTGACCAGGTTGCTAAGCCCGATGAGGGCATGAACAACGATGTTCTCGAGATCAAGGATGAGGAAGTTGTCGACACTGGTGCAGAAGCTGGTGAGGAGACCAATACCAATACCCAGGATGCTCCCGCGGTTGAGAAACAAGAAAAGACCGATGTAGTGAAGGTTGAGAAAGACACGGCCGAGGGAGAGACAGAAACCAAGGCTAGTGAAGATGCCTCTTCTGTTCAGCGCCCTAAGGAGATGTTGAAGGTCAACAGAAAGGGCTGTGAGACCAGACAGAAGTCGGATGCTTCTATTCTTCCCGACTCGGACAATCCTCATGAAATCCGCAAGCAGGTAAGAATTAGTTCTTCTATTTTTATCTAAGGTGATAATTGTTTCTAATCTTGTCCTAGGTTGAATTCTACTTCAGCGACAGCAACTTGCCTGGCGATAAGTTCCTGTGGAGCCAGACCGACGGCTCTAACAACAAACCAGTGCCACTCTCCGTGATCTGCAATTTCTCACGCATGCGTCGATTCAAGCCTCACTCAGCTGTCGTTGACGCTCTCAAAGCTAGCAAGCACCTTGTTGTGGAAGGATCCGAAGGCGAAGAGACAATCCGCCGAAAGCAACCTTACAAGCCAGCCGATGACAGGCAGTACCAGATTGATGAGCGCAGCGCCTACATCAAAGGGTTCGGTGAAGAGCAGTCATCCACCCAGTTTGACATCGAGGCATTCCTAGCTCAATATGGAGAGTTCAATTCCGTACGCCTTCGAAGAGCGGATGATGAGAAGAAGTCATTTAAGGGTTCTGTGTTCGTCGAATGGGCCGACAAAGATACCCTGGATAAGTTCATGGCTCTAGAACCTAAGCCTCTATGGAAGGATCACGCATTGGAAATCAGGACAAAGCTTGAGTACAAGGCATTCAAGGCACAAGAGATCCGTGACGGCAAGATTCCGATGAAGGGTTCTAACCACTTTGGACGTTCTCAGCGTGGCCATCGCGGTGGTGGCCGAGGCCGAGGGTCTCGTGGTAATTATCGAGGTTCTGATGCTGATGACTGGAAGAAACGTCGTGACGAGGATCAGCGAAACGGCTTCGAGGACCGTCGTGGCCGCCGCGATAATCGTGGCCGAGGTCGAGGCCGTGGCAACAACAACCGTGGACGGGGTAGAGATCGTGCTCAGAACGATAACGGTCGCACGAAGGAACAAGAGCGACCCGTCTCACGTGATGACGGTAGACCCAAAATCAACACGAGCAAGGAAAGCGAGAAGATCATGAAGGAGGAGAATGCCATGAGCAACACTGATGCTCAGGCAAACGGAAAGCGTGCTAGGGATGGGGATAGCACAGATACACCTCCCGCAAAGAAGGTCGATACTAAGGAGGCTATTGCTTATGCTGCATGAGCAAACTAAAGCAACTTATTAATTCGTCATATACGAATTACATACCCCTTCTTCGCGTCTTTATTTCACATTGATTCCCACAACTTTTATCACTCCTCCTGTATGACATTGCACTTGAGGCACTCAGCTTTGCATTTCAAGGTCGGACCTGGTAATGGAATTATTGGTAGGGTTCGGAAGAGGCGTTTACGGGCTCTTTAAACAGGCGCTAGATATTTGTCTCTAGCTACGAAAAAAAAATTTCACGAGTTGTTGAGATGGTTACCGTATCACTTATTGCTACCTAGGTACATAATGATCGCCTATGACGTTAATATGTACAATCTCTTCACAGACGCGATTAATTGTCTAGGCGAATTAACACTACACCTGAAGCTTGTTCCCATCGTCTAAATATCTATCACTTTCTCCCTTCTAACTAAGGTAACAGGCTCTTGCTACATAGTTGTGCTAACCGCCCGCAGCGAATGGGCTCCTCTTCCTCAGCACTTCGCCACTGTTACAAGAGTTAGCAATTACTTCTTCAACGGGATTATAAGGATGTCTTAGGAGTTTCTTTTTTTAACGACATTGATTTAGAAAACCGAACTCCTGAACATATTGAAAGATTCGACGTGACGTACTATTTCCATAATAATATTGGCGAAGGCCAACCTATCGCAATACCGAGGAATGCCATCAGGGAGTTACCCCAACCATAACCCAGCCGGTCATACATGTAAGGTGCAAAGAGCGGAAAGCCAAAGCCAGCCAGAGACCGTAGCACGGTGGCGGCACCGACAGCGCTCGCGGCATACCGTTGGTATGAATCAACCACGAACGCCTGCAGCGACTGGAAGCAGATGATAGCTCCGATGGCGAAGATGAAGGCACCGATGTTGGGGCCGATCCAGTGTGTTTTATACTCGGCTGTCCAGCCGTAGATGAATAGTCCAAAGGGGACGAAGATAGAGCCGGGGATTATCATAGGAACTCTGTGCTCGGGCTTGCCGACACCATATCGTCGCTTGAGCGCGGCGTAGATCCGATCCTGTAGAGGAGCGGTAGTTTGCGAACCGACGAAGAATCCTAGGCCTAAGCTGATGTAATTCAACCCACCTATCCCTATAGACATACCGTAACCAGCTGGTGGCGGGGCGGTGAAGAGCGAAGGGAACGATGCTAGCAGGAGGTACATAAGTCCATAGATGTACATCATATACAACGCAATACACTGGACGATGATCTGAGTGGCGAGCAATCGGAAAGGCCTGGTCATAGCAGTACCGAAAATCGTCAAAAGGCTTCTGCTGTCAGATTTGGCATCATCGTACGGGGTGCGCAGGGCGGCATTCCCGGTTTCGGCGATGAGTCGCTGACGCTTGCGGTTCAGGAGTATTGGGGCATAAGTCTCACGTAGGAAGAATAGGCCGGCTCCCTGGATGACGGCATCAGCAATGCTAGTAGCCCAGAAGGCCCAGCGCCAGGTCGTGTTCTCGGTAATAAAGGCGCCAGCGATAGGGCCGACGGCTGGGCCTAGAAGGGGAGCTAAGCTGTATACTGCAGAGATGAGAATTAGTGGCCATGTCTTTATGTGGCGTTTAGATGTATTTATACATCGGTGACGATAGCTCCTTTACCTATCAACTCAATAAAGAGCGTAGGGAACTATTAATGATACATACTTGATATAGCGCGGCCACGCTGTTCAGCAACGAAAAGATCACTGAGTACACCGCCACCAATAGCAAGAGTGGCAGACCCGCCCAGACCCGAGAGGAAGCGGAAGGCGATAATTTGCCCTTGAGTACGCGCGAAGCCACAGCTTATAGTGAAGGCGAGGAACCCAAGGTTCGAGTACTGTAGCACAGATACTCTGCCATAAATCTCTGCGAGCGGACCCCAGCTGTATTCAATTTCCTCGGAGTTAGCAATATAGAATAAGGAGCAGGAGATATTAGGGTTGAGAGGAAAAGGGGGTCACTTACACCAAGGGTCCTATGGCGTAAGCGAGGATGAATACCGATAGGACGAGGTTCTGTCGGACTTATAAAGGGGGCCACGTTGTTAGAATTCTCTGAAGAGATATTTACAATAAGAGTGTGTTCCTAACTCACAGCCTTCTGGGATTCCTAATTCAGCGCCGATTGTAGTCAAGCTCGGAGCCACCATAGACGAGGAGACAGGCGAGACGAAAGTGAACATGGACACGATGAAGACGACACCCCATTTCTTAGGGAACGGCCAGTTCTTGGGGTTTTCTGGGTCGTCGGAGCCTTCCCAAGTCACCAGATTAGGGTCGCTGGTGTCTGGCGCGGTGGCGGCAGCAGTATTTTCCTCATCGTCGGTGAGTTGTCCCTCTTCCAGATCCCGCCTCGATTCGATCCCATCTCGTACCTCAGAGATGGTTCGCGATAGGGCCCGCGAAACTGGTCGTCCGGAAGTATCGAGTGGTTCGCGGGGAGTGCTGTTATCAGCAGTGTCTAAGCTGCTGTTGGACTCCGACCCGGACGCGCGACTATCACATTTTTCCAGTCCCTCATCCTCGCCTAGTCGTGACCCCCTCGTTCCATCCATGGTTTCGGCATCGATTGAGCCGTCTTCGGCTCCGGCCTCCTTACCGGCTGGTGAACCCTTCATAACCACCCTCTAACTAACCTGTTATTTATTCCAAACAAGATTACAATACACAGACAAGAAAACGCAATTATACGATTTAATATTATTTGGCCAATTGAAAGACGAAGGTACAATGCGCTGATACTAAATAGTTAACAAGGAAACGAAGATGTCCATAGTGGCTTAGCGGTTCTTCTTATATATATATCGTAATCACGGCACTTGGAGTCACGGAATATAGGAGAGGACCAGTAGGAACAAGACGGGAATTAGTAGCGGTAAGACCGAATCCATTACGTAGCATACGTCTAACCTACATATATCCACCTCCAAAGAGATAGACATATCCTCGTCTAGATGGGGTAACTAGGGAATAGAAAGACGTGATTTGGAATTGTCCAATCAAGGTGTTATCCGATCTCGTCTACGGTCGTATTCCCGGATATAAGTGGTTTAGGGATGACGGATGAAGCAGCTCAGTGGCTACCCGGCTCGGTACCGGAGCGGCTACGACTTAACATATTACCCACCGTGCCGACAGACCTTAAGGTATATAGTGTAGAGTTGGATTTTTCGAAGCTAATGATTCAGTCGGTGAAGAGCCTCCTAAAACGGAGATAAGTAGTAATACCGGCTAGGGTAGAAACGGAGCGACATTGGTCCATGCCTTTCCGCATTTAATGATAAATCCAGTTCGTCCTGAATCCTTAGAACTGCTCGCGACTTGAAATACTAGCGACGTCTCGAAGTATTTTGTATATTGCGTTGACAACCAAGCACGAAGCGAATTTGTCTAATAGCCTACGTATCGTTCTAGTATACCAAGTTAAGATAGAATGGCGATTTAGAGATCTGAATGAGGTTAAGTGATAGTTTATAAAAGATAAAGGATTGAAGGAGTTGCAACGTCGTCGTTACTCGATTCTCAAAAACTAGTAACGTAACACAATAGTTACTATAACTATTCCTTGCCGAACGTGTATTAATAACCACCAAATTTAAGGTACAATAGCATTTATCACGAGGTTAAATATCAACAATAAACTAATGCCCATTGGTGAAGTTGAAAGAAGCTTTCTAACTGAGCGGGAACAACAGGTGAGTAAACAACTTAACAAATCAATCAAGTAGATGATTTATCAACCATTTCGTGGCGTACCGAACTGCGAACGGACAAGGTTTTATAAAAGAATAACTACATAGAATTATAAACCTCTTTATCGATAAGAACAATTAAGCTTGAGCTTGGGCCAACGCACGAATTGGACCCGAACTTAAACTTGCTTCGTAGTAATCCGTATCGCACGTGATCACCAATCAAGAAATTTTGGCGGGTGCAAGTAAAAGTTCAAGATCCAAAGATCGCGGAACCTCGAACAGAGGATCACGACCACTCCCGACGCCGTTGTTCGCATACGGAACCCGGGACAGCAGCCGAGATGAAGCCCAGAAGATATCACGGTCTGAAACGGCCAGTAAGTCACCACGAATTCGTTTCAATCGTCGCATCTACAGAACCATCTATTAACATTTTCTTTCTTTTTTTTCTTAACTACAGAAACTTCGGCAAAGTTGGAACAAATACAACCTCTTCAACATATGGCGTACCAGAGACCCGAAGCTCGGAAAAGGCGATCAAGAAACTTTCTTCCAGCAAAAATGGAAGGCAAAGGGTATGCTACGAAGCTACCACGGTGAACACGTCGTCGAGCGGAAGTGGGTGCGCATGTTCAGCCGCCGCTTGCTAAGTGTCGCCGATATGGACCCCAAGTATATGGCCAAGTATGATGGTTCCGAATTAGCCGCAGGTAGAGGATCTGGCAAGGACACGCCGCCGAATTGGTCGGAAACCGTTATAAAGAAACCTATCCCGACCCCTTACATGCAGATGACATTTGCGCCTATGGAGAGGAGATTGGATATCGCTGTTTTCAGGGCTATGTTCGCAAGTAGCGCAAGACAGGCAAGACAGTTCTGTGTCCACGGCGCTGTTAGGGTCAATGGCAAAGTGGTCAGTATTAACTCGATCGGAATAATTCGATTGTATACTATATAAAGGAGCGCCACTAACAAGTTTCGTGTTTCGTGTAATAGATGCCATACCCCGCCTACCGTCTTAATCCCGGCGACATGTTCCAGGTCGATCCTGAACGTGTCTTGTACGCAACCGGCATCCCGAAACCGGATCCGAACAAGTCGAAGGGCAAGAAAGCTTCGACCGATGGTGCTAAGGAGGAATCTGAGGAGCCAGTAGAAGAGGAGGCGGAGGCGGAGGCGGAGGAGGAGGTACAAGCAGCCGCCGAAGGAGAAGTCGCCGAAGCCAAAGAAGCAGAGGCGGTAGAACAAGACCCCGACACAACCGACGCGCCAGAACCGGTCAAGGTAGATATGAAGCCGACGCAGAACCAAATACGGGAGATAGTTCAACAAGCCAAGACTCTACTAAACGAGGATGGCGATCTTGGTGCGCACCAGAAGCAGCGGCTACGAAAATTCATCAAGGATCTACGCCCTCTGACCTCTCGCGCCAGCCGCGCCGATGCCTCCCCGATAGAGATCGCCTCCGAGCTCTCAGACCTAGTCTCGGGGCTCAATATATCTGGCTCCTCTAGCGAGGACGCCCCAGCCGCAAGGGAACAGTCTTCATCGACGGATTCTTTCAACGACCTTAGCAAATTAGAGCTCGAGAAGCTGGAGCGGCGTGTGGCCGAATACCTGCGCGAGGAGGAGGACAACCCATGGGACCCTAGCAAGCCGTACAAGACACCTTGGCGGCCGCGCAACTACATGGCGCCCTTCGCCTTCATCCCCAAGTATCTCGAAGTCAACCACAACATCTGCGCTGCCGTCTACCTACGGCATCCCGTCGCAAGGGTCGGTAGCGCCGAGGTCCCAACGCCCTTCCCCGAACCCGTCAACCAGCTGGCTTTCAACTGGTACCTGAGAAGAAGGTAAAGTGGTAAAAGAAAAAGGAAAAAAAAAACCGAGGCTTAAGTTGGTCTGCTACGGCCCTGCGGAGAAAGGGTCTATAACATTGGCTTGGTCCGAACCTAGAACAGACTATATGAGACGTAGTCAGCCAATATACCGGCACATCTCGATAAACATACGTTGTATATTATGAAAGCTTACGACCTAAGGAACTTCTCAACTTAGCTCGTTTGGCTGGCTACTTCGGGGCAGCTACATCGGCGGCCTGGTAGGCGGAGATCCTTCTCTGTGCATATACCTTTATAGAGATAGCATGTACAATATGATGTATATGGTCGCCAGCGAGCGTTATCATCCTTGTTGCCGGACTTCATAGTAGTGCGTAGTATTATGCGGTATAGACATTGACAACACCACTCACAGGAAATCAAGTTATAACTTTGCTTATAGTAGGTAGACCGAACAATTCAAAATACTTAATACTATGTACCAAGGTAGGGGGAGGAATATAGCATATAAGTACCTATATATTCTCTACATAAGACGAGACAAGTCACATTATAGAGCAATTAGTCCTTCAAGTCGATCGACCTTAGCCATAGAACATGTCTACACATGCCCATAGACTAAGACATCTTGGAATCTCTAGGGAGAATATTCTTCAACGTTTACCCGTAGAAACACATATGAAGACAATACCGACCCAAATGAAGTACCTAATTAGCAAGCTAATCCACTCCGCATGAAACTTGTTTAATAAACAAAGCCACAAGCCGAGGCAATGCATGATCGACCTCGAAGAACCAAGATCTTCAGAACCAAGATCTTCAGCATTGCTTTATGCGACTGAGCGAATTACAAATGGTCTAGCTGCCCCGTAGACGAATATTAATTAGATGCATTGAGAATATCCAACTTCTAAGTACCTAGGCATATACGTACCATGAACACAAAAGCATACGACCAGAAAGCAATTAAATAACAAGTCACTTCACTACCAAGAACCTAACGTAAGAAGAAAAACAATCATCCTTTTCTTAATTCAGACGACCTAAACTGAGAAACACGTCGAGGCTAGAAACACAAAGAAAACACAGGACAGTGGGTTGACGTAAGGAAAACCAAGAGTGAGCCAAGTTCGTGGCCAGATGTGCGTGTGCGTCGAGAGGGTCTTCCTCGCCGGATGGCACCAGCCAGCGAGGCCAGTGGATACACCCATCCCGTGAGCGAGAAAGCTTACTCCTAAAATACAGACATCTAATTTTTGAGGGGAGCATTATACTCTGACATTCTCCTCCGTATCCTCCACGAACACACCAAGCCGCCTGTCGACTTTCCGCCAATTCCGGGTATTTTGTCGTAACAGCTGAAAAAACAAGCACATATGATCGTGAAGGAAAATAAACGGTAGGACGAAGACTCCGACAGAGGCAACAAGAACCGTCTTGTCTTCGGGGTAGTGTGCGGGGACATTCCGACCGGTTGATAAGGAATAATTAAATGGATGCTGTCCTGCCGTACCTATTTCACTATGCCATGCTCGCCCCTCTCCAAATCTCAAATGGGATGCCGAGGCAGTTTTAACGAGACATACAAGGCAGCCTGATGCATAACGTCGGAGGGGATAGGATACAGTCGTCAAATCCTGAACCAACTATATCTCGCCGCAATGTTCAAGAACGCCGGAAAAACAACCCCAGACATCAGGAAACTCTGCCTCGGAAGCCGGTCTTTTTGTCGTTTTCATGGTAGCTGCCGGGTGCTTCTGTCGGTACCACTAACCACGGCCAGGAGATGATACTCATCCGAGGATTGCCCAACTGACAATCTCTGGTGAGGTGTATTAAGTGATAAGTAATTAAAAGAACAGAAGGTTGAATAGACAGAATGACGAAGTGAAGAGACGCGGCAGGCTGGTACTGTACGGGCATCATGAAGGCTCCGGGCGTAGATCATAGATTAGAACGAGTTGTCGTTAAAGGTTAGTTCCGTAAGGAGAAACCCTTTCGCTTGCCTTCCTTTTCTATGGGTCTTCCGGATTCGATTCTGGACTTCTTCTCCTCGAGTTCTAGTCGTTGCCGTTCTAGCTGCTCCTTCATCTCTCTATGACGGGCATACAGTTCTTCTTCGCTCTGCTTCAGTTTACTCTCCTTTTCAGCTACTTTCTGCTGGAATACCATCTTCATTTCGGCCTCCATCTTGGCAAGCTTCTGCTCATGTAGAGCACGCTCCTCTTCTTGCTTGACGGCAGGGTTGACCTCCTTGAAGACGCTAGGATCCTGAGCAACACCCATTGCGGTGAGCTTGTCTGTTCGGTAGTTCTCATAAAGAACGTTGTTGGTGTGCTCCTTGAGCTCTTCCATGTGAGTTCGGATGAGCATTTGACGCAGCTTGACGAAATCACAGTGCTCCTCGTTGTCGACTTCAATAACACCCCAAGGGTACCGACGGCCGCGAACCTTACGTCCATCGGCGTTGGTGATCTCGTTATTGGCACCCACGACAGCGAAAGGAACCTTCGACATGATCTCATTGTTCTCTGCGATCGTCTCTTCGTCGTCCAACTCGTATCGAGGTCCCTCAAAGATCTGAATTCCGTGATGCTTGATGTCCGCGAGGATCTATAATGAAGTTAGTAAGATACAGATGAACGGGGAGTACAAAAACATACTCTAGATTTGAAGCCCGCAATCTCGTCATCGGTAAGAGTATCCGATTTAGCAATGACGGGAATTAGGTTGACCTTGGTATGCAGACGACGCATAACCTCGATATCGAGAGGCTTCAAGGAATGGCCGGTAGGCTGGATGAAGAAGACACAGGCGTGGATACGGTTGTCTACAATATTCATTCGGTTGACCTTGTTCTCGGCATCTAGGTAGGCGTCGTAGCGTTGCTCGATGTTGTCAACAATGGGTCTCCACGACTCATCGTTGTTCACGAAATCTCCAAAGCCGGGGGTATCGACAACAGTCAGGCGTAGACGAACACCAGCCTCCTCAATATCCGCACTGATGGATTGAATAGAGACAGTCTTGGGTATTATGTCAAGGCTAGGTCCCTTTCGGTCCTTGGGTGGGTACAGAGACGTATTGAACAGAGTGTTGACGAGAGTAGATTTACCCAAGCCAGACTCACCTAAGAGCGGTTATAATTAGTCTTTGACCAATTGAAGGGAGATGGTAAAGTTACTTACCGACAACCATAACATTGAAGTTGAAGCCCTTTCGGACACTCTTGCGGTGCCATTGGTTTGGCAAGTTTGCAAAACCGACGTAGCCGGTCAACTTCCTTCGAACGATGTTTTTATTGTCATTGATGATTAGGCCCGATGTAGGGGCAGCAGCTGGGGCTGTTAATTTGAGGTCAGAACTCGGGGGAGACGACGGTTGAGGTGAGGTTTGCTTGCCCTCGCTCGGCACAGGCGATGCTATTGTACCGTTTGCAGCTATTTCAAGTTAGCATGAAATTCTAACAGGTATCAAACGTATAAAGGAGAACAAATTGCAAGAGGCTGCCCGAAGAGTTATACCAGCAAGCGGTTGATGGAAATAAAGTTCGTCGTAAGACATCGGCTTGAGAGGGCCAATAGACGGAGCGTCCACGACTAGCATGCTACGGTAATGTCGAACGGAAGGGGGCCGATTCTCCTGGTCTAGCCGGATGCTTGACCTAATGGCCGGAGTTGGGGACGTAGCTGACTCCCTCTGAGGCAAACAGAGATTTTCCATGATATGAGCACTGTCCAGTTGAACGCTACGAGCTCGTGCCTTATTGTGAGGGCTAAGGAAAGCTGGCATTGTACGAATAGCTGGGAATTTTCTGGTTTTTTTCTTCTGGTTTTTGAATGGATGGGACAATTTCTTCTAACAATGGTCGGATATTCCAAAGAACCAAAAAAAGGTCGAGACCCAAGAAGTGATAGATCAACCAAAAAAACAAGGGTGAGGTAGTTGGGTAAGCGGGTGAGTGTTGTTGATGTTAATGGGATGGAGGTGTTCGATCCGGAGGGAATCCATCTGGTCCAAGCAAGGGAAAATAGGGTTCAGATAGGACAACTGTTGTTTCCATCATGGCGGCGACTCTTGCAATATTACTCTCCTCGTCGAAACGTGCGACTGCATCAGTAAGAATGGGAAAGCGCTTACCCATAGTAAATACGTCAAGAGATGTCAGGACCTAAAAGATACGGTGCGGAGAAAGTGCGATATTTAGTCTACAGATACAGAATGGTTAGTCCAGATTCCAAGGTTTACCGTTGCTGTTTAGGCGGGATGAAGTTGACTTCTGAAGGAGAGGGAAGAAAAAAACGGAAAGTTGACGCGACAACTGGGTTCCGGCTGCTGCGAGGACTTGCGAAAAACATGGACGACGGGAAGTTCGACGGAACGAGTCTGACCCCGTATGTCTCTGTATGTACATATGTAGGGTAAGGAAGACGGATTCGATGCTCACATACCGAAAAGATGACTTTTAGTCGCGTGTCAATTACAAAGGTCGCAGAGCGTTCAAACAGTATTGCAAATGAAGCGAGCGAAAGAAGTAAACGGGTCGAGGGACGGACTCTGCGTGTACCGGTATCTCGTTAGAATCTAGAGAATGTCGGGTTGCAGTAAGAAAAAAAGATGAATTGGATTAATGGGATGGTTGGGATGGCAGAGAGAGTGCCAGTCTGCCAAATTAGGAGGTTGAAGACTAAACGGAGGAAGAATTTACGTGGGAAAATGAAGTTGAAGGTGGTGTGCAACCCGACCTCCTGTTTCTAAGTCTCCTCATTCAAAAAATCAAATTTGGGTCCCTGGCCGCCCTGGCTTTTTGCTTTAAAAGGGGCTTGGGGTCGTGTTACTTGCTAGGTACATACAGGTAGTGTATTAAATTACCCCTGTACCATACCTGTTCTATACCGTACCTGAGTACTCCTTTATTAGGCCCCTTCCAATGCACTATCAGATTACGGCTAGCAGCTCTACTAGTTACTGTTAATGCGCTATAGCCGGGTGAGGCAAGGATACTCGATGCACCCCAAAAGCGCTCGTACCTAAGTGGCTAGGGACCTTAGGTAGCTACAGGGACTTAAAGACAAGGGTTACCACTAACTCTGAGCTCGTTGATTGGTTTGAAATTTCAATTGGGCAGGGGATTTAATCAACCAGCACGTTGGAGCTTCTTTTTCGCTACTGCATCGGCTCTGCAAGCTTTCTGCCAACTCATCATATATTTTATCTTTATCGACTTGTTTTTCTTTTCTTTTCTTTTCCCTTCGGACATTCTCTTCTACCGTGCAACGTTTTCTCTACAATCCATTACCGAAGCATCGGAAGTACATCTGTATTAGACCTAATGATTCCTCTTACTTAAGTACATTATGTACTACCACTCCATAGGATTGGAACCTTGGTGATACTTGTGTTAGGTTTGTGCCTGTAAGTTAAGCCCATTAATTACCTAACATAGATAGGCAGATAGGTACCTACTTCATTACGCGCAGACGGTCCACTCAAATTTTATATTGTGAGGTACAAGTCCCGCATACATGTAGGCAAGGAGACAAATCGAGGACTACATCTGCATGCAAAGACGTCTATTAAGATAATAAGTATTTCCCTAATCGAGGATAGGTATCTATAGGCACTATAATGCAGACTAGTCATAACGCCTCTGCAGGAACTCGTATTGCTGTTTGTTATATATATATAGCCTGCATAATATGGTGCTTATACGCGTACGTATTTGACGACTCTGTTCGTGTTCACAGGAAGAAGATAGCAGGGACTAGCTGCAATCAAAAGGTCACCAATTTGGTACGGGATGGCATGTTGTTTGTGGGGAAATATTTTTAACCTGCATAGCCCCCTTTATGCAATGAAGGTACTTGGGTATTTACTATTCGGGAATATTCTCTCCGTTTTCCGACCCCTACAAATTGAGCCAAGTGTATGTCAGGTACGTACCCAAAGTATTAAGGTTACAGTGCATCAAATCGATAGACCCATCGAAATTTCGATGTTTCATGAGCTCTCGAACCTTTGTACACATGTGCTCGCTGATTGATGCACATCACCCCTATTTTTCTTTAGTGGCTACCTTTAAAGATAAATTAAAATAGACACAACATCACCAACAATTTGCGGGATGCTTAAATTGGATAGGACATCGAGTGCGTATAATCAGTTGTATGAGCTATAAACACACTATTTAGTCACCTGGGATTCATCATATTCGTGAATATAAGATAGCAATATGGGGGAATAATAGGATATAATAGTTCCTTAGTACGCTAGTCATTAGAGGCGCTATATTTACCTATGAAAGTGCTAGAATAATTCGAAATCATGAGTACAATTACTCAGGTGACTAAACCTAAGAATGGGTAGCTAGTATGGTAATATTCGATGTGAAAATGGTCTGCTTTTTCCCTAGTGAATCTATTGATAGACTAGCTAGTATCACGAGGCCGAAGTTAAATGCTAGTATTACCAACGACGTTCTAGAGAACCAGAACATCTTCGCAACATGCGGCGAGGTAGCTCCTATCCTATATTACCACCTACTCATATGGTCTGACTAATATAGCAATCGTGACAACTAATGCTTAGAGACTGTTGACAAGATAGCATATATAGCATACTAGTATACCAGTGTTGTACTCAACGGAATACCTTGCCATCAGATATTATCTCCAAGTTACCTTACGATGGTTTGATTTTGTATCTGGGCATTTCCAACTACACCTCGTGAAGTGGTAGCATGAGAAGTCGAACCTCAAAATCAAGGTGAATTATCAAAGTATGGGATCTAAATGTTGATCATTGGTATGATCACTTAGATATGGGATAGATGAATTGGCTACAAATACGTCATGTCATAAACGGTACTATCCAACACCTCACCAAGAACGTCCCGACCACGTAGCTAGTCTATGCACTTGAATGCTGTTAATGAGCTCAGACTAAGACTGCGACGGTATAGACCGCGGAATCGAAAAGATATCGTCTTGATATAGGCACAAGAATCTGGAAGGGTGACATGAAAAAGGAAAGTCTTAGCATCACACATCAAGGCATAGCGATCAAAGACCCACAGCATAGCTAATTGAATTGTGGTTTATTGTATTCCCACCGGGCTAACTCTACATCCAACTCGACAGTGCCATAGGCTTTGAGCTCTGAGCATCCGGAGATATCGCAGTGTCTGGTACTATAGATGATAGCCGTCCTATAGGGTCGCTTGCATCTAATTTAGCCGACTCCTTCTGCTTTTGGACTGCCTCGAGTAATTGCTGCACTTCCACGTCAATGGATATGCGCCTCTTACGACATTCCTCAATAAGGTCTTGTGCTCTGATATCCTCGGCTTGGATGCACCTCCTGATGAGCGCCAGGGCCGAATCCCTACTTATCCACCAGTTGTTTGACACCCCTCCTGTCTTGCAAGACTTCATCTTCTCAAGGAATGCAAATGCCTGCTCATAGTTGTCCTGCATGCTAGAGATCCGAACGAGATGGTTGTATGTGGTTTGGGTAGGTTCGACGGAGAAAGCCCCCATCTCTGCGAATAAAAAGTTCATTGACTTCCTCATTGTGCAGTGGCTAAGGAGAATATGGTAGGTTTCAAGATCCGGACCGTCAGCACAGATCTGCCGGACGCTTCTATAGAGATCCAAGGCTGCTTTGAACCCGTGATGAATTTCCGTAGCCTCCAAGACGACGTTGAATGCGGCTGCAGGGACATGATGATGTAGTCGGAGGTCGTTTAATATCGTCAAAGCATTGTTTGTTTCCGAGGACGAATCGCGTAGCACTCGATAAATGGACCGTGTGCTGGAGAGACAAGGACGTAGATCTGCCTTGGACATGATACATAGGGTCGTAAACGCTTTGAGAAGCTCCTTCTGCTGGGCATGGATGTCTATGAGAGCTTCATAGTGGTGCAGCTCAAGTTTCTTGCCGCGGTTTGAAAGCATCTGAATTGCGCTTATTGCTAAGCTTGCGTCTCCATGATTTGACGCTGCATTTATAATATTCAGAATGACGCCATCTGGTGGATTTATATATCTAGGGGAGACTGAGCGATCCCATATATATTTGATCCCTTCGTAAAAAGCGTCTCTACTAAACACGTCAAGAAGGAACTGCCATAAATTCAGCGACAATGGTTCTCTGACTATGGTTGCGATCTTCATTCGATGCTTGAGAATTGAGAGCGTCTCCCCGTGGAAGCCCAAGTCCCCAAAGGTATAAAGGAATACGTCGTAGAGCCAGAGTGGGATGTTGAGGGGATCCTTGTGCAATTCCTCCAATTTCTCAAGCGCAAGCTCGTATTGGTTGTCTCTCAACAGTCCAACAGTGATATTTACCAAGTCATCTGCCGTTGGTGAATACCACCGATTTTTCATCTCGAAGAGCACGGTATTTCGAAGAGCATAATCAGGATGAACCGCTGTAACCTGGGTTGTGATGTTAGGTTGGGAAATACCAATCTATAAAACGGGCCGGCATCTTACTTCTAGGAGAGCTTGATAGATTTGTGGTGTCGTTGGGATGCGTAGTCTCTCCATTTCCTGGAGTAATCGACCGGCGATCTCTGCGGATCCATGATTTTTGTCGATATTCGCCCTTATGAGGCTCTCATAGAGCATAACATTTGGCTTCTCTTTTCTTTCTCTTACTAGATATTCGACTAGTTTTACAATTGATTTATAGGTATTTTCGACTCTTGTAAGCTCTTTGATAGCGGCGTAGATGGTCTTCGTTGGAATCGACTCGAGTTTTGCGGTTACAGCTTCCGTGTCCCCAAAGAGCATCCCGGGAACCCATGGGCTTCGTTTTGCTACTCGCTTTAGGTACTTAATCCGTACTTTCTCACCTGGGGAGTAATCATCGCGCGACTGGTCGGTACGAGGGACAACAGGGATGCGGTGATATTCTCGCCGACCCGGTCTATTGGAGATGTGAGCATTTCCACGAGGGCGAATTAGTTTTGAGAGCGTGGCTATATCAGCAGAAGGACATAGACATCGCCAGAGCCCATCGAGGACAATGCGCTCTCCTGGCATTGCGTGACTAAAAAAAAGGTGACGCCGAACTCTACATGCGGTTGAGGCGCAAATGAATAAAGGTTATGATTACCTAAGATAAGGACGCGGTACCTTTATTTGCAACGGCTGTTGGCAGCTGGCAACTCTAAGAATCACCTTTTGTATCTGCATGGGTACGTCTTTACATGTACCTATCCTAAAGCACCCCGCGAAGAGTTCCATTCTGTTATAAGAATTATACTGCTTACCTGTTGATACATGTGCTCATTATCGAATATACCTATACTACCTAACCCATTATGTTGGACATCGTGCAGGTAAGACATTCATCGTATGAAGAGTCGGAAAACTTGAAATAATAGCTCGGAGTTCGGGCCATGTCTCGGAGCGTACTGGGATTTTCGCCATGGCTCTCCCCGCGGCCTATGTTCGGAGTTCACAGCAGTTTAATAAATACACGTGTACTGTTTGCGCCAACACCATCGCGGCGGGCTGGGTATCTTCATCTGAACTGTATCCTAGCACTGTGGCCCAACTCTGCTAGCTTCTTGGAGGCGTGTTATACGTCCTCATGCTGCTACTGTTCGGGAGCCTTGTCAGTGGCTTGGCCACCTGCATATCTTCCACGTTGGTATCATACTACTGGTCTGTCTTCAAGCTCCTCGGCCTCTACCCCTACCCCTTCCTTGGCCTCGTCCGCCCCGGCCGCCTCTGTCACCGCCTCTACCGCCGTGGTCTCCTCTCTGCTGGCCGTGTCCACCACGGCCCCCCCTAAATCCACCCTGTTGACCGTGGTGCTGCTCCTTTACAAGGTCGATGATCTCGTCTGGTACTCGGAGGTATTTGATCTTTTATGTCTGATTAGGTACATATTTCTGAGTTGGATTTTCACCTATGCTATGGGGGCTTACATTGTTTCCTTTAATATATACCTCCGGCAGGCGGACGAATTTATCTCCTTCCTATTTTTATGATATTAGCTATGACACTAGTCGGAGAATGAAGACGTAATTGCGTACTGGACTCGTCTGGATGACCTCCTTTAGCGTCAAGTTCATCCATGTGTCGCATTGTATTAAATGTCCGTTCAGCGTCTCTCCGTTCTTAAGTTCTACGAGCATAGGATGACCTTGGGCCGCGTTCAAGAGACCGAGGGGCAACTAGGATGTGTTCGCATTAGCGCATAAATAAACAATTTGTGGGAAGGAGCGAATTAAATATAATAATTACCATCTTGGATGAATTGCACTCTTGGGTTTGATATGGTATAATACCTGTTAATAGAGTTGCGCGACCACGAATTCTTGTTCGGTGATGTGATTTAGTGATGTGATATGGTGACAAAGTGCTGGGAGCTGGAAAGCTTGAATTCCATTAGTGGGGTCGGAACCGGGAAGCTTCCAGTTAGCCACATGTGCCACACTCTAGGTCAGCCTTATGTTTAGGTACTTAGGTACTTAATAGTCAGCCACGGATTGAGCTGAAAGGGTCACAGCATCAATCCATCCAAGGTCTCATTGAACTATCCCAATCATCAATCTATCTCAAGTATTAATCCTAGGGCTTTTACATACGTCCAAATTAATGGTTTACCTATATGCCCTTTATGTATCTAATCATGGGATAATACATGATCGTCAATCTACTTTAGTTTTAGCTGATATTGTTTTTATCGTTTTTATATGAATTTTTAATTGATATTTCCAATTTTGAAGGCCTTAAAGGATTGCTGGTTTGAATACCTACACCCGTCGATAAGTGTCCGACTTACGTGTACAAAATCGGCTTTTATTTATTTATTTATTTTACTCTCGATAAGACATATGCACATAATCTTCTATGTGCATGTGCGTACGAATCCATCTCCCGATTTTGGTCGCCGTTGATCCTGGTCCAGTGCAAGCTGGGTTAGAAGGACTCGTCAGCTAGTTGCAGCTCATTGGTGGATGCGGTCTACTACCCCTACCGAGTCGTAGTTAGACTAACACAGCCTCCCGAAAGGCAGCACTAAAGCTTCTATTATTTTATCGGCGAATTGCTGGTAGTTAAAGCAGTTTTAGAGTGGATTATGCCCGTCTGTTATAGGTATTTACTAGTTTTCATATAATAAATCTAATATGCCTGGCGTCCCGCTTTGTTTTGTCCCTTGAAAATTACCTGACGTTTTCTAGCGCGGGTGGATTTCCTAAAGTGAATGTCCGCGCGGCTCTCTCCACGGGGGACTCGGGCGTCTTACATATTCCTCACGGCCGCTTGTGTAGGCAGCCGTTTAAGTTTCTCCTTACACTTCAACACCATTGCTGAGGGTGGATAGTCCGTAGTCTTGTCATGCTAAGGCGGCCTTACTTTATCTATTCTCGTCTACAATTTCTGGGAGCCTAATCGCACGATGCGTGGCTACCTGAAGGCCCGGTGGCTACTAGCACCGCTGCTTACAGCTGCTCTTCCAACCCGACAAGAGGGTAAGAATTCATCAAGTGTCATGAAATCTGTCGTGTACTTCTAACACGTAACCATCATTTGAAGTCAAGGTCCCACATGCATTAATCAACCTCGATATCAACTCTACTTCAGATGAAATTAATCATCACGGAACTGTAAGTCGTTACGAAAGTACCGCGAAGTGACAATTAGCTAATCCATCTTATTCAGACTCTACGTCTTGACATTCTCGAGTCGACGTCTCCGTGCGGCTACGGAAATGTGACCCTTAGCGGTCAATCGCTTGCGCAAGATGAAAATGGTGCTGGGTCTGGGCCCATCATTGCCGAGAATGGCCATACCATTCTCGCCAACTGGGCCTTTAGTTGTGTACATCTTGAAGATGAGTTTCAGGGCCAGCTGATGACTTTTGAAGTCATCTCTTTAGATGGTGAGGAAGCCAACGATGTTAGGTTTGTCGTTCAATTCCAACAAATGGCGCCGCCTTCTATCTCCTTCATCAATGGCACGGCATCTATTACTGAGACTCTTATTCCGGCCACGGCCACGGACGAAAACCTGGTCAAGGAAACTTCAACACCTTTGGACAGCGAGCTGGCCGAATTGAAATCGATGATGCGACAACTTGCGGCACTTGAACAAGCAATTTCTTCTAAAGTGCAGCATATCTCCGAAACTTACGACTTCAAGAGTCCTGATGAATTTCATTCATTTTGGAGGTGCGATAGTCTGAAATGTGTTGTGAAAACGATGTACGGGCGTGCGAAACACATGGCTAGTAGTCTCTATGGTGGACACGGGTTTGAAGGGGGGAGGCATTTTGGTGGTCGACCGAGTAGATTCGGCTGGCGATTTCATCACGGTGATCGACCTGACTGGTTTTCACATGACGGTGGCGCTCATAGGAACCACTCGTGTCCGCACCCGCGACCTCATCCTCACCCTCCTCACCCCCCTCATCATCAACCTCCTCATGGACCTCCTCATAGACCTCCTCATGGACCCCCCCCTCATGAGCCTCCCCACCATGAACCCCCTCATTTTCACCGACCGCCTCCACCTCCGCCTCACGAGTTCTACGAAGAGCAACCACCACACGTCCACCCACCACCAAGTCATCAAATCCTAGAGGATGACATGACTCAGGAGAACCTTAGATTAGGTACTGGGCCTAATAATGACATGGTAAGCTTCGAGGGAATAGCATATGATATGAAATTTGGTGCTGACTTTTTAGCGGCCGACCAGGAAGTTTGGCGATGATAAACCCGAACCGCCACCTCGTATCATTGACGATGGTGCCGATTTATCTCCACCAATGCCGAACCACCACAACCAACCGCCACCTCCAGGTTTCAGACCACATGAAGGGATGTCTCCGCATCCACACCATGATCCTGTAAGCATCCTCTATAACCATGTGATAACTCGTTGACTAATGCAATGAAGCATTTTAAACACCGTGGTCCACCTCGTCCTTTACCGGTCGTTCACATCGTGGTTACATTCATCCTGCTTGCCTTACTCATTAGCACTGCCTATACGCGCTGTTTTGCGGCATCTCGCAAAAGTCGGCGTAGTTCCTGTGCTGGACGATGCCAAACTCGAGAGGCTCGTCGTCAGTGTCGCCGCAATGCCTGGGCTAACAGACGTGCGGCTATCGGAACCCGGTATTCCGAAATCGTTGGGTGGCTAAGGGAAAGTGTAAGACGTCAAGAGATTGAGAATGAGGAAAAGGAGGCCATCATGAGACAACTGCATAGATCTGAAAATGACGATGAGGATAACCTTTCTACGACAATGGAACAGGAGATTGCGCAGTTCCGTGCAGTTGCCAGCGTCGTGGGTGATTTAGTTGCGGCGGAAGAGGGCCGTTCTCGTGAATATGTTCACGAGAGACAGCAGCACATAATTCCGACGCCTCCTAGCCCAGCTTCGGCTTTCCCAGATTATGCATCTATTGACGAGGAACTTCCAGCCTACGACGAGGGGTCAAACGATTCACGCTTCGTTGCCGATGGGTTTAGATATACACCTGGGTATCCGCATTATACACCAAATGGGTCGTCAACGACGGAATCATCGCTTGATGAGCATCTAGGAAGAAAGGATTAAAGAAATAAGGAAATAAGACGGAATTCGGTGAATTTGGGGTGATAAGGTTAAACGATGTTTACCATGTTTGTATCAATAAGGAGTCGGACAGGCGTGTAACATTGTATGGTGAGGTACAGCAACTTCTCACCGGGGTTTTTGAATTTTGGATGATGAATATTGACCTAGTTAAGAGTATAAAGCATAATCTATTTTATTTACACTGGATACCTAGGTGTAGATGTGGGTTAATCCTGAATGTTTGCCTTGTACTTTTGCTACTTAGTATGGTCAATTGTCAATCGTCAATTGTCAATTCCTAGGGTAGATGATCTAATGGGGAACACTTCAAGAGAAAATATTAATACCAGCTGCCGCAAATGGGTAGCTTAGCGAATGTGGATGATCTCATGGCTTGAGGATAAAGAGATGTGCAAAGCTGATTACCTCTTAGAATGCCACATAGCCCCCGCAGATTAGACCCATACCGAACCGTCGTTTTCATGTAGAAAAGTCAAACCGGCATATCTACGATCTACACTGATTGGCGGTGGCAATACGTTCACTATCGCGGGGTCGAGAGGTCAAAGCTTACTATGACTTCTAAGCCATCTATAAATTGAAAGTAGTTTTGAACCTGATGGTTCAATCGCATACCTTATATCTGCCGTTCACTTTACAATAACGCCAAGATGTGGCTTCATATTAGCAGAGCCCATGCGCTTATCATATGTTTTCTTTTTACATGGACTAAAGCTTGCATGCACGAGCGACGCACGCATTCAAACTTGATAGGGAAACGGGATACTACTCCATTGCAACCTCTGAATTCAGAAGAAGCTATTCTGGTAGACTCAATATCCAATACGAGTATATCAGAATGGTCCTACTACTACACACATGGCGCACATCTAGCTGGAAAGAATTTGTCCATGGCAGAATGGACGGCGGATCGTTGGAAAGAAAGCGGGTGGAACTCAAGTGTCGTCTCCTATGATGTTTACTTGAACTATCCTGTCAACAAGTCACTGAGTTTGACGTATCCTAACGGGAGTATTTATCGCCCGTTTCTGGAGGAAGCCGTGTTAAGCCAGGATGAAACGACGGGCTACCCTGACGCGATACCCACGTTCCACGGCTACTCGGCTAGCGGCAGCGTGGATGCCGAATTCGTTTATGTTGGACGTGGCCAGCAGGTTGATTTTGACAGGCTGGTCGAACTCGGGGTCCCCTTGGAAGGCAAGATTGCTATTGCTCAGTACGGAGGCCCCTTTAGGGGGTTAAAGGTTAAAAATGCGCAGGAAAAGGGTATGATAGGCGTGATTATCTTTACAGATACCGCTGAAGACGGGGACATCACCGAGGCTAACGGGTACGCGGCTTATCCGGATGGACCAGCGCGTAACCCTTCCAGCGTACAAAGGGGTAGTGTGCAGTTTCTCTCAACATATCCCGGTGATCCGACTACTCCGGGCTACCCTTCGAAAGAAGGCTCACCCCGTGTGGAGCACCCTGAAGTGCTACCGGATATCCCTTCAATACCAATTTCATATGCGAACGCAATTCCAATCCTTGCCGCTCTCGAGGGATATGGGACGACTGGTAACGAGGTCAACCGCACTGGTTGGGTAGGCAAGCTTAACGTGTCTTACAGCACCGGCCCTGCGCCTGGTACAACAATTAGCTTGTCTAATTTCATGGAGGATACGTATACCCCGATCTGGAATGCGATCGGTGTAATTAATGGCACGGTTGGAGATGAGACAATTGTGATAGGAAACCACCGCGATGCCTGGATTGTCGGCGGTGCTGCTGACCCAAACAGCGGATCTGCCATTTTGGTTGAGCTTTCTAAAGCATTTGGCAAGCTTCTGTCCCAGGGATGGAAGCCGAAACGAAATATCGTCGTATGTAACGGTTTATAAGGCCATTCCTAGTCTCTTCCTTTGACCTTTCGCTCGTGCCTGCATCTTAAATTCTTACCTCGAAGTGTACCTAACCACTAACTATTTATAGATTGCGTCGTGGGATGGAGAAGAGTATGGTCTCTTGGGTTCAACTGAAGTTTGTAGCATTTGAAGTTTCTTTTACCCCTTATTCACCTGTATTGGGGATTTTCCCCTAACGAATGTCTAAACCTCCTTGAACTAGTACTAGGAGAAGTTTCCAGTTGCTAACATTTATTGCAGTGGGTTGAAGAATACATCCCCTGGCTTACCGACACTGCAGTATCATATTTGAACGTTGTGAGTAGCCCTTGAGTTTATTCATGCGAACTTCTAACGTTATATGCAACAGGATGTTGGCACATCTGGACCCTGGCCATATATAGAAGCGACTCCAGAGCTTCATAAGATTGCTACAGATGTTATGAAGAAAGTTTCGTGGAAAGATACACGTACTATGTACGACGTCTGGTTGGAATATACTCAAGGTTATATCGGTGTGCTAGGCAGTGGTAGTGACTATACATCTTTCGTCCATAGAGGAATTGGTTCGGTAAGTAATCATTTTGATATACCCCATGTGTAAGGTTGCTGCTGACTATGGTTAGATTGATATAGGCTCAGGCCCGGGTGCGACGGATCCTATTTATCACTACCACAGTAACTTTGACTCTTATCACTGGGTAAGTGTATTATGGGAAATTTGAGCTGGAAACAAACACCAGAAATCTAGCCTAGTGGCAACTAAGCTCCCCGATGTTTATTCATATTGGCAATCTTGATTATATGATACTAACGATAGATATTACAGATGTCGACATTCGGAGATCCTGGATTTACTGTTCACAAGTTTACGGCTCAAGTATAACGGCCTGTCTATTGAAACTTTCGTAGACGGAACGAAGAACAAACTAACATCTTTTTAGTATGTAACGCTTTTAGCTTATAACCTCGCGAGCCAAGATGCGATACAGTTCGACCTACCCAACTATGGTATACAGATGGAGAGCTATTATGAGGATTTACTCTCTTTGGTAAATTCAACCACGTCCATTTTGGATACATCTACGCTACAAATTGCTATACAAGACTTCAAGACTGCAGCGGCAGAGATAGAAGCCCAAGGGAAACGCGCGATCTCAACTAATGATTCTGAGCTTCTCACCCTCGTAAACCATAAGTTTAGGGACTTCCAGAGAGGCTTCGTATCTCAGGGTGGTCTACCCAACCGCGAGTTTTATCGGCATCTTATCTTTGCGCCGGGACTTGACACTGGTATGTTTCCCGTTTTTTCCTGGCTGCCTGTTGAGCCTAACTCCTCGTGATTACCTAGGGTACGCAGCAACAACATTTCCGGGAATAACGGAGGCGCTTATAGCTGGGAATATATCACTTGCAGCTGAGTTTGTTCAGAAGACCGCTAAGGCTATCTTAGTAGCCAGAGACATAATCAAGACGTAAATAAACCTAATTGTTGCGTCTATAATTTATTACAATGAATCAACTAAATGAGATAAAATCATAGAACTTGGTTCTATATTGTTGCACTTGCGTATATGATGATGATAACGTTAACGTCTATTAGTTGCTATAGGTACCTAAGGTAGCTACAGCGAGCGCATCTATGGCGCTTTAAGACGTCTAGAGTACCTCTTTTGAGACAGAGCTAGAGTTTCGCCTGACATAAGAGATCCTCCACTTGCATATAGCTTGACTGCAAACTCGGTGTTTTGCAAGTAGTAGCATGTAGGTGTTTCAACAGATAGAAACAGGTGTGATGATCAAAAATAAAGGGGAACGAAATGTGTGTTATGTTATAACAAATGCTTTATATCATTACCATACGATAGTTTTGTAGTCACACCCCCCCCTTTGAACCCGCACGAGGATCGCAATGAACAGTATCAAATGCATTGTTTTAACAAAGACATGGTCGAAATGTTGTTAGAGGATATTTTTTTAATGGTGAGAGCCTCTCTATATATTTAAGCCTCGTATTACTCGGAATTCTCTATTGTGATTCCGCAACTGTGGAACTGCTTAAACTTGATACCACTTGTACTTCATAACATCAAATCAACCCATTCATCATGTACGAAGGCTCTATACCTATACCGCCTCGGCGACGCGTCCTACCTACCCGTGAGCAGAGACATAGGATACGGCAGCATCTAATTCACACGTATGAAAGATTAAGAAACAATCCTCCCAACTATGTTATAGATGAATATGAACCGAGAGGTCGGTTTTTTGACTTTGATGACTTGTCACCATTTATGTGGAGCGAGTGGTGGCGTGGCAAAGGGATCCCCCACGAGGTATCCAGACCTCCTGTTAACGACCCAGAATTCAATGCGGGTGTTCTCGATATAAGTCAGCCATGGATCCCCTTTAAAAGGTGGATGATGGATATCGCACGAACTTGGACGCGGCCCTGGCCAAGAGAACTTGAATTAAATCCAGAATTGTTTGGGGATCTCTCCGACTATAACTGTACTCGAATTAACTTCTTTAGGGTTATGAGATACCGGCTTTCCGTGCACAAAGCATATGCCTTGTAAGTAATTATGTCACTCCTCATGACTTATTTCTTGAGTATATGTAACATTAGCTGACTTTGTTATCGCAGTTGGACGGGATTTGCACGAAAGCATCAACATACAGCTATAACGGAAACTTATGAATTCCTAGACGGCCGCATAAATGAAGAGGACCCGGTTGACCCGGCTTTAGCTGAAATACAACGCTCGAATCATCGGCAGTCGATGATAATGCTCACCTTAATAGGTCTGAATAACTATAATGTCCCGGATGAGTCACTCAATAATTCGGGGGTTGAAGAATTGAGGTATTGTAAGTAACATTCAGTATTCCCCTGATCGTTTCGTACCTCCGGTCAAATGATGTAACTAACATTTACTTAAGTCATACGATCGCCCGTTGTCATGGAAGCTTGGCTCGAATTCCTTAACGACTATTTACGGTATCATCCCGATACACGAAATCCCGTATGGAGTACATTACAGCCTGGTACGTAATATTATATTTTGCCCCTCTGTACGTTTCATCGTCCTGGAAGATATTTTTACTGACTGTCTTTGTAGCATTGGCAAATAGGGATATCCATAACATAAGAAGACGTTATTATTTGTCAATTAACCCTGACAAACACAACTGGACTCTTATGGACCACGCCGTACGATTTATAATGACGGTATACCATCGCGGCTTCCAGATATGTGAGGCTAGGGAACGTGAACACCTTGAGGGAGTTCACTGGCCATGGTCGCATTATTTCTACAGCGAAACGTTCTGTACTGACATGGAAGATCGACACTGGTTTGGGTTCTCCTTGTTGATGTTACTCGTTTCTTCTTGGCAATTTAACCGTATACATCCTCACCCGGAATATTTGCGAATCCTTGTCCCATCATTATATCCTAGATATCAACCGCATGATTGGGACCATATCGAAGGCGACGTCGGTATGGTCAACCTGTCTCCTACTTCACCGGTATAGTACCTAAAATTTCCCTTCCCTATTTTGCGCCCTTCCTCCCCCCTGTTCCTACTCAAGGATGTAAAATGCAATCGCTAACTTCTGTTATAGTGGGAATGTGGTTTTGATGTCAAACCGAATTTCGATTTCACCAGAGCTTATTTGAGTGGCTTCATTGGTAGCTGGGAACAAAGCCGATTCTATGAGGGCGAAAGTGACACCCCGATTGACAATGATGGTTATCGTGTTCGCGCGAGACAAACCGCGACCCGGAATTATGACGAATTTGAAGATGACTAGATTACTCGTTTGACTTCTATCTTGTAGAGTGAAGTCATTGAGGATACACTATGAATCAATCTTTGATGCTATGCTTAGGATCTGAGATCGAGCTTTAGATGGAGACATCACCTGGGTAAACAATAGACAATCTTACTTAGGTACCTAACCTAACCTACCTGACACTAAAGGTAGTTAATACGAAGAGTTTTGATAATAAACATATTCCTATTTCTATATTACTTAATAGAAGAGGGACCCTGTTCCTTTAAATCTATAGTACTAAGTGTATGTTGACAACTGTTGTTTCGATGGCTGAAACCCAGGGCCTGAAGGGTGTGCAATGTAAACTGAGCTCTAATATTTACGTTACTACTTTACGAGTAAATTAAAATACAACTTCACAAATACATATATACAGTGAAAAGTTAGAAATGTTCGATAATTAAGTACATAAATAATGATACATTAACATAATTGGAGAATAGAGTTATATATTATACCAGATGGTCCTCTCAAACGCTTGAATATACACGGGATTAGTCTATAGACTCGAATAAAACGATACGATCAAAAAAGCAATTGATAGGGTATATGGAGTCCGATCTACCAAATCTACTCGGCTCCCGTCAAGCTGTTATTTTAGCCCAGAATGCTACCAGTTCTTGAGTAGCATGCAACAACTTATTATCCCGTACCCCCTCACGGTAGATTCTGCTCTGCATATACCGGTCTCGTTCGCTGAAGAATGGTTTGGTCTGGTTTCTCCAGATTCGGTATTCTTGTGCATCTTCAAAAGTAGGAGACTCTTGTTCTTCCTCAGCAGCATCATTGCGCGGGAGCTGTATAGGTAATGCGCAGCCGTGGATTCTAAGTTCCTCTGCCCAAAGTTCGTCGTCATCAAGGACGGGCATTGGAGACTTAATTTTATAGTTGACTGTAGCTGTACTCACTTGCTCCATTGCCGGGGATTCCGCGCGAGGCAATCTTTGTACTAACAAGGAATATAAATTTACTCCCTGTGATTTTAATTGAGCGTAATCGTGAGCTTTGCAATCATATAGCTTAACAAATGTTGCCGGCTTTCTTGTGCGCTTCTTCGTCTTATTTTTCACAGCTGGTTTCCGTTTGCCAAGTTTGGCTCTGGACCCCTTAGCGTTCTTCACTGGAGCATCTTCTTCCGACTCGTCCACAGTCAAGAGGCCTTCATCGGACGACTCATCCTGCGGACGTGGTATCAAACTGGGTTTATTCGGATCTGATGTTTGTTTTTCGACGAAAGCTGCAAATTCGGCACTCTTAGCTTCAAGCCTCCTCCTCTCCATTTTGAAATGTGGTTTCGGGACATATTTCGGGGTTAGGTAGTGATGAAGCAGCCTCCTATCTAGGATACCCGTTTCCGCTGCACAGACTTGGCCATATGTACATGGGATAGGTGGGCTTTCAAATAATAAACATTCCGAGGCTACCGGGGGCTTCCATTCTGGAAGTCCAGATCTAAGTAGCGTTGCTCTCAGCGCTTGAGCATTTGTCGGAATCACCTCTTCCCCAATCTGAAGTAGGTTGTTATAATGCTGCGACCTACGCTCGTTCATATATAGAAGCTTACACTCCCTCATTATCATCATAGTGAGTTCCTGCTCACATAATTTCTTTTTAGACTCTCGAGTCTTTTTACTTTCGTAATCTTTGCGGAGGTCAGACCATCGGGTTTCGTCAAAATTAGTTTTGTCGGGTGGTAGTTGTAGGTTGGTACTAACGTCCTCGAGGGCTAGCTCATACTTTACCAATGCTACACTCCTAATATCCAATGTGAACCGTGCAAGAGTCCGTAGAAGTGGCGAGTGTGCCATAGTGATAAATATTGACCGTTTAGGCGTGAGAGAAGTCAAGTTAATGCTGGCGCGAGTATTACACGTGCTATTAAGGTTGAAGGTGATCGAATCTTCTGATAGTCAAATCAATTCAAATAAGGGATTCTCATTTGGGAGAAAACAAGATTATTATTACTGGTTTAACAACAATAGTTTCTGGGCTCTTTGTGGGTGTCAAGTTTATCATCTTGCATTGTTATCTTTGGGTTAACGTTCTCCTTTGTCTGCTATTTCTTTTTTGAACGGTAAGACAATGTTATAGAATCACTTATAACAAGGGCGTGTAGTTGTTAGGTTCAACATAGACGCCTTTGCTATTTTCTATTTAAAGGAGAGTAAAGGACATGGTACCTAGGTAGGCTTTAGAACCTACCTCTTGGTTACCGATAAGGCTATTATTCCACTCCATTCTCTCGGCTTGGACAACCATGTCCTCTCTTCTGCTGTCTCTAAAGGTCTAAATCATGTATCGGAACGTGACGGCTTTATCACCCTTGGCGGATAGTTCCCCAGCAGTGAATTGACTGTCCCCACCCTGGCGCATGATCCTATCTCGTTTCTTGTTGATGGAAGTGTATGCTATAACCAGAATCACCGCGGCGATGACACCGACACTAATAAATCCCAACTCCAAGCTATGTCCGAGAATGTACTGAGGCGCATCACTCTGTCGATAAAAGTTCGATGCCATAGCTCCGCCTAGATTCCCAATGCCGATTTGGATGGCCATTCCAGCACTGCGCTTGTAGCTGCCTGCTAAATTATTCGAGAGCCAAGTGACCACGCCCGGGAATGCCGGATAAATGGCGCAGGCTACCACAAAGACACCCCCGTAAATTACTCGAGGATTGGTACTAGATACGCACCTTGAAATAGTTAGACATAGTTTGAACATACTTGTGCTTGTATTTGAGCTATAACTTACATTGAGAACCCTACGATCATCAGTAAGAAGAATGAGATGATGAATGGGCTACGCTTTCCTAGGCGATCCGATATGAAAGCGAATATGACGCCTAAGATTGCCGCTGTGATATATATCGGGACCGTCATAAGCTGGGCGGTACTTGCAGAGTATCCAAGATTTCTGATAATCGTCGGGAGGAAGAGACTGATGCCATAAACTGGGCACACGACCTATTGATTGGCGGCATTGATTAGTCTTTGAGGATGATGGGATAGGGAGTAAAACAAAGAAGCTTACACCCCAATAAACAAATAAGTTAACCCATATCTGCCAGTCTTTGAAGGCTGCTAAAACATATTTCCACTCGAACTCCTCCGCTTGGGCTACATGCGGACTTTCTTTTCCTTGTAACTGTCCTTGGTACTTCAAGCGAAACACGACAAATGCCCGTTCCTTCTCGGTGAGGAACGAGGCGGTTTCGGGAAAATCATATAGTACAAAGAATGCAAGAATAGCAACGAGAATCTGGAAGAGTTAGTTATGTCACCAGTCCTGAGTAAACAAAACTTGACTGACAGTCGCTATTCCTTCAAGGATGAAGATCCAACGCCAGCCCTCGAGGTTTCCAACACCATCCATCTTCGCGATAGCGAAAGCTAGCAGCCCGCTAAATGCGCCAGCCATTGACGCCGCCGAGAAAAACATGGCCTAAGAATACATTAGTAAAGAGGAACACAGAGAATCATTGTTTTATGTGTTAACATACTTGTCGAAGCTGGATTTCGTGGCGACAATACCACATCGTGAGATAATACTTTAGAACGCATTAGCTTTAGTCGGTTGGAATTGAGTATCCAGTCCTTACGGCACACCCGGGATATAAGCCGGCTTCAGTTACACCAAGAAACAATCGCGCAATAAGCAAACCATGGTAGCTCCTTACTATGCCCATCAATGTCATTACTACCCCCCACTGTAACGACCAATAGTAGTTAGCAATTGATCTTAGTTAATAATATCAAAAATATCAAAAATACAATTAGGACAACATCTAGCGGTTAAAAACCAGCTTATGACTTCAGCAGATTACTGAAGGGGAAAGGTACACAAGCATGATAACAATGTTCACTTACCGCAACCATAATAAGCGGAAGCCATCTTGAAGGGCGTAGTTTCTTTAATAATAGATTGCTTGGTACTTCGAATGCGGCATAGGTGAAGAAAAACACGGTTAAGCACCAGTTATACTCATCGGCACTCATTCTTAAATCTTCTTGGAGGCCCTCGATCTTCGCGTTGCCAATGTTTCCTCTATCTAGGAAAGACAATAAATACAGCATCGCAAGCATCGGAATCAACCGGAGGTCCATCTGAATAAGAAACCAGAGTTAGTACATAGCTTAAGGTTCGTAGGTTGAATAAACTCGATAATCACGAAGAGGAGGAGTCTTGACCTTTCTCAATATTTTCTTCTCGTCTACGTCGGCGAATGATTCCAGAGTCGCCTCCGAAGTCGTAACAAGGGCGTCAGCGCGATTAGATTCATTTTGCGGCCCCTTTTCTGTGCGATGCTCGAGATGTCCAACGATAACTTTGCCAAAATCCGATATCACATTGTTAAATGCCATGATGAGCGGATGAGTACCTATATCTTGGCACTATGAGGACATCTAGGTGAGTGTCTTGGGGGATGAAGTTGTTGGGAATAGTCCAGACGCGTCGAAACGTGATAGATAATCAATAAAACCGAGCAACCCAGCACTTATAGGTAAAGTCAATGGTAAGACCATTAGCCCCTCGGAGCATTCCACTGAGAGGCACTGCGCGGGCGCGCTGAAAGATTCCGCGGGTCACATTGATGGAGGGTGCGGGGGGGAGAAACCGACCAGGGTCTCCCTCAATAAAGGGGTTGGCGATGTAGGTGAATTACATCATCCAATAGGCATTAAGACGACACATGGGTATGAATCGTGCTCCTTGGAGATGTGTGAGATTGTGGACTATAATGAACGGCGTATGAGGTAAGTAGGTACCTTGACGAGTGACCCCCGACAAAGGCCATGATTGGGGGTTTCTATCCTTCTACACCGAGGTTAGCGACGTCCAGTTTCTACGTAGTTAGTATACTTAAATAAGAGCGGGACAGAGGGTCAATCCTATCGGCAGACTTATCGGCATCCACTGCCATATAAGCAGCCCCCCGGTCATCTACTCATCACATTTACATCAGTGTCCTTGCTGGTATTCGTGGGGATTGTGGGGACCCTTGTTCTCCCCACGAGTTTGATGGAGCTATTTGCGGGGGATGCCGAGTTAAGATCCAGATCTTTGGGGTATGGACTGCGTGGTCTGGTGGTGTACACATCGGAGTTTCTTACCAACTACAACAATATTACTACTATTGGCTTACTATATACTTTATGTTGGTATCTGGTACCTACCTAGGTAGGTGCCCGATAACATAGCAGAGGGAGCATCGGAGTTAAACGTTCTATATAAGTCTAAAAACCGATAAATTTGAAATCACCTTCTTCCCACTCGAATCGCGTGATAACACCATCACCCAAGAACTCCAAATATTGATACGCATAAACGCGGTCCCTCTATAAGCATTCCAAATTATCATCCTTGTATTCCAACCGTGTTACCTCCGTGGATTCGGTACAGCGTCATGGCCGAGATGACTGCTGCACCAATACCGCTACCATCTTCCGCACTTGTGATGATGATAGGATCTTCTTGCCTATCTTCGGGCCAATCGAGAATCTCACCAAGCGCCTCGGCCCACCGTTGCTTGAATGCCGGATGCTTGTTTGCAACAGTGCCATCCGCTGCGACATGACCTGACGTAACACCCTTCATTCGGCATATCGCTGCAACGCCGCAGGAGCAGAGCCTCGCGCCCTTAGTCGCGATGACTTCTGCCAAGCGACGAGCTACCCTTGTCTCATCTAGTGTGACTTTTATATTTAAACATTCTTCTAGTCGAGGCTGAGATGTCTCTAGAGGGTCATTCTCAAGACCCGATAAGAAGCCAGCGTCTAATTTATAAGGTTCTCTCAATTTTGCGGCATCTTGCCCTGCGAATAGGAGACAACTTTCATAAAGATCGAGTGCAATTAGTCGAACGATCTCGCCGAGGTACAGACCCGCGCTCATCTTCTCGAACGCCTGTTCGCCTGGCCGTGGTGAATCTTTGTCGATAGATATGTCATACTTCGTTCGCGGCAATACGCGATCAGCGTTATCGAACGCGCCATATTCACAATTTATTGCCATAGGAGTATCGGATGGCAGGGTTGTCTTCAATTTCGGTATTGAGCCGACATTTTCCACATATGCCGCATTGCAACCCGTGCCAAATATTGCGCCGATGATCGTATCCGCATCCTTGTAAGCTGAGGCTACCATAGCTCCAGTTGTATCATTCACAAGAGCAACAAGCTCTAAAGGTAAATCCTGCGTTCGTGTTAGTCGTTATGTTTTCTACTCAAGTTGTTGTAATCGCCTCATAATCGCCTTACCCGCCCAGCCAAGACATCTTTTAGTTGTGCCGCGGCGTCTTCGCCCTCGACACCGTCGATATCAAATCCTTTGGTCCACGTCTTCAAAATGCCATGGTCGATAGCATTCTGAGAAGCCGGGTAAGAGAAACAAAACCCCAAAGGTAGTTTATTGACGTACTTAGCTAATTGCGTAGTAATAAATAATAATAAGTACGCACCGATCATCGCGATTCGCTATAATTTGATGCGATTTGATGAACTCGTCTAGGGAATCTGCAATGAAGTTCCATAGTTGTCGAGCGCCTCCCGTCTTTATTGCTGGGGGAAGACGATATACGTGTTGCTTGATATCAATTTCCTCGCCTTGTCCTTTCAACCCAACTCGACACACGCGTAAATTAGTACCGCCGCCAAGATCTATTGTTACGTATTCGCCAATTTCATCACCGGAGGGAAGTCCAAGAACCCATGTTATGTTCATAGCCTAGGTATCCAATGTTTAATATTGGTGCGAATAGAACCATTTTGGATTACTTACAATATTAGATCCTTCTTTTTCAAGACCCTTTTTCGAATTGTCGGGTAAATCTGCTTGAGCTTCTCGCTTGAGACATTGAACTGATTTTCGATATCGATAAGCTTCGATCGTAACTCTGGCGGTAGCTTAATTGATTCGGATGTCTCAAGTCCTTTAGCCATAGTTGTGAATTATTGTAATAGTCTTTTTTACTAAATTGCACTTTAGCACGAGGTTGGTATGATGTTCATATGGGCTACTTTTTATGTTCATACCTCATGTTGATATTGATATCATTAAATACCGAGGATATAAAGAGTATCAAGGGTCCCGCTTGACGGGAGAGCACTGACGTCAGAGTTGGGTGGAGCTTCAATTCTGTGAGATGTACCTTAGTACATCTCAACACGTGACTGCTCGTCACGTGTCATTCAGACATTCAGATTCATCTTGAGTGTTTGTAAAAAAAAAATAATAATGTTTCATTTTATTAGTTAGTTCAATAGATCAATTTATCTAACAAATTCTTGGATTGAATCTTGGTTAAAATGACCTAATTACCTGAAACTTCCAATTGAGACTTTCATCGCATCCTCCATTCCAGGCTTGCCTTTGGAATGTTGGCAGGGAGAAACTATGTTTCTTTAAGTACAGTTAAGTTCACATAACTGGCTTTCAGTATATTGGAACCCTGGTGCACTGATTGATTACATGTCATTAAGTCAATCTTTTGTTTCGCCGATTAAAGCGAATTCTTAGGTACCTCCTATTTATATCTTACCTTACAGCTAAAATTAGTCTTTAGCAAAGACTTAAGTCAACACATAAAAAGACACCTCTCACTAAAACTAAACAAAACCAAAGTACGTCTGAAATAAGCCTGGCGACCGAACTAGTAACTACTTCTTGGTAGAATACTTCTGTGCAGCCTGAAAGACCAGTTGCACACAATATTCGACTAGCTGGTTGTTCTCCATCTCCTCCTCGCTTACCACCTCCGTTCGCCACTCAAAAAATCCATAACTAAAGTATAGTTTTATGAAATCAATACGACTCAGAGTGTGGTACCTATCATCTACCTCCTTTGCAAGATTCGCCCATTGATCTGAGCTAACGGAACTTGCATCAGCGCCCGCGTTCAGTAGTATAATTATTGCTGAAAGGTGTCCGACCCGAACGGCGTCATTTAAAGCTGTCTGAGGAGTGTCAGCCCCGGGAAAACCTGATATCGGCTGAACTGGAGGTAATAGTGTTTCTAAAGATTGTCCTTCTTGAATCCATCGAGAAACAATAATTTGGACAGCTCCGCTATTGCCACAGAGAATTGCCTGGCGTAACCATTCTGGAGTATCAAAACCCGTCATGTTTGTAGCAGCCCAGTAAAAATTAAATAAAGAACTTTTACCAGTTAGAAGTGCAAGCTGCACAACATCATCACAGTGCTCCAGCACTTGTTCATTGAGATTGGAATCTAGCGAGCGGTTATCTAAAAGAAATGTTTGGATGTAATTCATGTGCTCCACGAAGTAATCCAAGCACTCTCCTGTCGCCGCCGCACTTACTATGCTACCATGTGTTACCAGCCGAACTATATATCCCCACGGCCTCGCTCCGTGTCGAGCCGCGAGGTGAATTGTTGGGCTTTTAAGCATTTGTAAAATTTGGATAGCGTCTCGTGGGCGAGCTTCAGAAGTAAGCGCCAATGCAATGGGGTTTGCGTTGTAGGCATCCAAGCTATTCGCGGGGAGCGGAAGGATGTCGCCATCAGTCGAAAATGATAGGTTAACGAGATATTGGATGAGAATTGGATGTTTTCCCGACTGGGCCGCTTTAAGTAATATTTCGGCAAGTCCATCATGGATAAGAACTTGTCGGTGCCTGTTTCCTGGTGGTAGATTTAACGTTCGATGTACTACGGCGGTGGTATATCGATCCATTCCAGAATTTATCGCTGACAAGAAGCTACGGGTAAGGACGAAACGGGGTGGCAACGTGGAATTACCAGCTTGGGCAACTTGGGCTTCTGGTCTGAGGGGACCTAAATAAGTCCCAAAAACAATAAGAGCTAAGGCGCAATCCTCGAAGCTTTGGCGAAGTGTAGGTTCTTTTTCCACAGCAAACAATTCTATAGCACGATTCATCGCAGTCAAGCAGTGTCGGTGCAAAGGTGGCCCGCCTGAAGATTCCGAGTTGGTATCTTCGTCTATGAATCTCATCCAAGAGAGAAGATCCGGAAAATTCTTAAGTAGTAACTCAAGGACATTAACTCGACCTACCTGAACGGCTGTTACTAATGGAGATTCTTGTATCCAGGGTCCGTTGTTGGCAACGTTCCCGGATCTTACCCTTTCGATTTCTAACGCACGAGCGAAGTCGCGAATAATATTAACATGGGCACCCTTGTGTTCAATTGCTGAGACGAGCAGAGGTAGTGGGACTTCACCTTTGACAGCTCCTATCTGCTCCTTGGCATCTACTTCAGCAATGCTATTGGGTAACCTGAGGCTGCCAGGATTAGCCAACACACCGTCAAGTAAAGCGGCCACCATGGTTTTAGTTCTAGTATGTCGTTTTGGGATATGTTGCTACTAGAGAGTCGCGACTAGTGTTATTGATGACAGGTAGGTAGACTTACGGGAGCTGATATGATTCTAACTAAATCTTACGGTTTGCGGGCGAGAAATTTAGTACCTAGGTCTTGTGGGAGCTAGCCGGCTTATAATCACCTTTCGAACGTCGATGAAGCAATGAAATTGTTGTCAAATAGGCGCAATGTTGGAGGACAATGCTTTAGATGTGCCACATGTTATGATATTGTGTTGTCAGATTAATAATCATGTCACATAAGTTGTCAGGGGCCGGGGTCCTATTGTATAAAAAAGGACAGAGTGAGAGGACAACAGCATGGCTTCTAGTATAAATGTAATAGCGAGTCCTTAAACCTATGTTCTTCCCAGATCTGGGGCAGGGATGCTCTCCTTACCTATATTAACCTACTTTCCAGAGGCTACCCCCTTATGTCCTTATGTTGTACCCTTTATCTCCTGATATCTATACCATTGAAATTCAATTTCCACCTATTCCCTTTTAATAGCCCTAACCAACCCCCCGCCCCTTTCTATGAACATTGCCAGGATAGTTTTTTCATTGAGTAGGCCAAAGTAGGTAAGCGCTAGAAGCCCAACCACAACTCTATAGAATATTACAAGGCGCTATCGAATGGAAACTGGGGAGAAGCTTAATCTCGTAACTCTCTCCCTCGTGTAGTAGTATTCCAGCCGATACCTACTTTAGTTGTAGGCACTTCTTACAGCTATACCGTACGGATAGTTTAGATATACTCCATTTTAGCACTGGGTGCCAGCGGCTTGGCGATGCTCAGCTGAAAGGGAATTATCAAAGGAATAGGGGGGGCAAGACAGCAATAAGAGTAAAGGGGTGAGGGTGGTACTTCAGACATAATGAATCTCGTAATAACCTGGGCATGCCCATCTTCCCCTGAATCCTTGAGGAATTCTTATGTCGGCCCTGGTTTTATAAGTCCCTACTAGGTGCCTAGTGATATGACTTATCAACTTAATGAGTTTAGTCGATATCTATTATAACCTCTAACCCTTTAACTCGCCTTTCATTATCTCTACTGCCTTCTTCAAATGTTTCTCATTATCATAATCGACGATGAAGTCCCGTCTTGGCAGCAACTTCTCTCGAAGCTTCCCCAAATCTAGTCCTATATCCTTACCTCTGCCTCTCATAATCATGCCAGTCCCGTGGCTTGACTCGACAATACGATGTGTACGGGGGCGTCGAACCTGGTCATACACTTTTAAAGCAGTTACCGCCTCAGAAGGTGTTTTAGCGCACCCGAGTAAGGTTGAAAGAACACTAGAATATATGGGATTAGAATTTCTTTCTTGGACGGCTTGAATGTTAGATAGAAGCTTAGACGAGTATAGTGGAGCTTCCAGCGTGGGAACTCCAGTCACAAGATATGGTATATAGACGAATTAATGCTCGATGGTTTCCGGGAGTCACTCACAGACTATCTTCAATAGACATGCCGCCCCCTGAACCTTGCCCTGTAATACCTACGGTTAGCAACAATTTATCGACGTAAGACATCATGTTTATAAGAATACGTACAAGGAGTGGTAGCATGGGCAGCGTCGCCCATAACACAAATGGGACCAGATACGTAAGTGTGGGCCGGTGGGTGTTCCCATAAGTACATCCCTTGATGTTCGGGTTGGTCACATAATAACTATATTATCCGTTAGTGAAATAGAACTGATATCATTAATCCTAACGTATAACTATACCTCATCGACGGCCTTGCTTAAATGCGGTGGCCAGTCTTTATAGAGGCTTTTGATCTCTTCGGCATTCACGGATCGGTTCCAACGATCGGTTGACTCGGCTTCCTTGTCATACGATGCAATAACGAACTGCACCAATTGGCCGTCGCTTAGTAGATTATGGAGTATGAAGGAGCCATCTCTAATCCAAGAATATTCGCGAGCATCTTCAATGGAGAAGGGTTGAAGAGTCATCACCAACCAGGTGCCTGTGTTCCTAGGTGAAGCAGCGGGGTCATCCTTGCCAATGATTGGTTTACTGTCGCAATCAAAATGGCGACGCCGCCGATTGCAAGCATGCAACCAGGGCTTATATGTTTGACACACCCCCCAGGTGATCACTATTTAAGTAATAGGGATTACCTAAATCGCAGCACTTTAACGTCTCTAAAGCTCTTTATAGCACTAGCTCATTCTGGCCCTCGGCTCTCTAGAGTCTCTAGTATCGTAGGTGGCTGTTAGCTGTCAGCTAAGCGTATCTCTTTATACGATGCTTTCAGTTCGATTCGAACCCGCGCCTTACTGCCAGTACTAGTCTGGCTCTGGGGCTCGATCGGGTTCAGGATTAACGCAAGGTTGCATTTGAGGTATGCAGGGAATGCGGTGCGATACCGCTGCGCTAAAGGGCTCATAACTGTCGCAATCAAAATGGCGACGCCGCCGATTGCAAGCATGCAACCAGGGCTTATATGTTTGACATTTACGAACAGTGCTGTGAATACCGTCCGCACCGATGAGAATATCGCATTCATGGGTGGTCCCGTCTGTAAAATGAAGTATGAGAGACCCGTCATCATTCCGTTTGGTCTCGTCAAGTTTTTTTTTTTTGGCAGCATGCATTCGTTCTTCCGGGACGCCTGCTAGAAGCTGCTGGAGGAATGCAGCACAATGGACGATGCTAATAATTCACTTCCCCTGGACCTCACCGTCTACTTCATCAATCAAGCTGCCTTGACTTTCGCCCTGAGCTAGCATGAAGCGGACCCCTTTCATAGGTACGGCTCCAGCACGCTTGAGGCACTCAGTCGCCGAGGGGCCAATGAGTTCGAGGGCGGCAAGAGCATTGCGAGCTATTCCAATCGCCATGCCTGATTCTTTGAATGCTGCGGCCGACTCAAAAATGTGTATATCTAAGTGCGAGGATTTAAGGAGAGCTTGCAATAAGGATACACCTGCAAGCCCGCCCCCTGATACAGCAATTCGAATGAGTTGAGACATAGTGTCTTACTAAGGAGGTAATTTCTAAAAATGAATCTGGAAAGGTCAATTAAGATTTCCTCTTGAGAGAATTGGATATGTATTCTGCGACCTTAACTTACTCTCTATTTAACCAAATATGAATGACCAACAAGTATTTTGATGGTAGTAGAAAGTAGTTGGAAGTATTTTAAGTTGTGTAACATCGTGCAGCGGTTGGTGATCATTCAGTTGGAGATGAAAGCAAAGGACATTACTTACCCCCTCAGTCGAATCACCAGGTGTACATTTCAGCTTCCAAGACAGAATGATAACCTTATTGGAGGATGAGAAATAGGTTAGACGTATAAAACTTGAATGTAACAAGTTTTATTTTCTAGACTGCCGTAGGATTTCGAAGTCCTTCTTTGTGCGTGGCCTTTGTAACTGGTATAGTATAATATCCCTTGATAGATTTCTTGTTCATTAGAAAGAGGTAAGGGATGAAGGAAACGGGAAAACGAACTAGCTGACAGAGATTGAGGATACATCAAATACATAAAAGACTGTAAGGTTGACATGAGGGTTATCAAGTGATATCCCACAAGAGCTCCTAGCTCTTATCGTCCACTGAAATAGCCCCTTTTCGAACTTTAAGTAAGCAAATATCTTAGGTACCTCACTACATGTAGGTTAGAGTAGACCTATTTAATTTTTATAAGCTTGATCTTTTAAATAGGAACTATCTTGCAAACACATCATAAGTTAACCACGATTAAGGTTAATATAGATTAGACGGTAAGTATTAATACCGGACAGTTGATACTTAAAGGGCGGAAATCACCCCGAATTATGTCATCATAGTAACATTTCTCACCACAAACATCACCACGACTACCTTCTCACTTTACGTTTCATATGAATGTTACATATCATATGTTAAATTTACTTTATAACTAGGCTAATTAAAATCTCGTGCAATGTTTCCGGTAAGTCAAACAAGTAAGAATGAAAAACAGGCGACCCTTTCTTTAAAGAATAACATTTCTACTTAACGATACGTACCCAAGGTACCCTAGATAATGTAAGCTTTTCTTTGAATTGGTTATACCCTGAACCAAGGGCTGGGTTACTTTATAAAGCTTTTAGAGTTATGAAGTTATAACAAAAGAGTCGCTAATCACGATGATTCTACACTGGTCGTACACGTTGTCTAATATTCTTTCTGTAATAAACAATCAATAGGAAATACTTACATTTTTATAGGGCATTCTAGGCTTTAGAGTATTAATGCGGCTCTGCGCTCCCCCCTCCCACTAACTTACCTAAACCTATGTCAGGCTAGTTTTAGGGTCAACTCCAGGAATTCTATTAAAAGAGTATTTACAAGGGTCTGAATAGTCTCATAACACTTGTTACAATTCACTACAGGTTTAAGAAAGATAGTTGTTATACTGGTTCTAAAAGAAAAAGTTCACTATGTTACGCTACTCGATAAGTTAAACAACTAGGTTAGATAAGCCCAAAATATAGCCGGCTGGAAAGGTAAATCTCGTGCACACGTTGCGGCAAGGAACTGGATCTGCTATTATATTATACCTTATGACAGGTCGTATATCTTAACGCGTAATTATATGAAGCCGCATTCCAAATTCCTTTTAGAGGAAGTTCCGCACAGGTAGATAGGTAGATACGCATAGATTTTTACTCAACTCTATAAATAGAAGCGATATAGTGTACCTACCTACAGGTAGGTAGGTATTTATTAGGTAACATGTGTTACTACTTGATAGTAGATGGATACCCCCTACATGTAAATCCCCACACCCCCCTATAATACGGCTAAAGCTCCAAGGTTCATGTCTCCTCGTGGAGACCATCCAGAACAGCGCCAGTGGGGTATATAGACTTAGAAATTTGCATTATGAAAAATACCAAGCTTGTGGTTTCCAGGACTAGGCTTTGTCATCAGATTACGGTAATGATAAGTCATATTTACAATCGCTCAACCCCCCGATGACGTGTGGTCCGACTATGGAGCATCTAAAATATCCCATTGGATTATGATAAAGATCGAAGTGTTTCTTATGGAGGTACCCTATCAGGGAATAATGTATTCCGTAGATGAGGAATGAGTTGGCGTTGAATTTGACGATTATTTACCTAGCTATCTCTATAAGAGTAGACCACGAAGCATATAGCGTACAACACTAAAGATTCCCCATAGTGAAGTTTTACAATTCTTCTACTAGCCCTTCTAGATGGATGATGAATCTATCATCAAAGCCTCGTATATGCCTAGGTACCTAAGATACGAGATCAAGTATAGTTATTTTTAGAAGCGGCATCTTAAAGCCACGCGCCCGGCTGGTAGGTAAAAAATGGCTGGGCCGAGACTAATTGTTCGATCATTGCCAAGCCGGTGTGTTACAGGTATCTGTTGTCAATATGTCGCCTGTGGATGCCGCAACCGTATTACAACGTGGGATTAAAATTACCAAATAGTTGGAATTGACTTTACTTCGCAGCCAAGCAATCCTTTGAACGCCCAATCAAGGACCAGGCATCATACGCTCTCGGTTCCGTTAAGGAGACACAGCATACATATTTGGAGACACGAAAACGGCCAGCCAGGTGCTTTACAGCGCAGATATGTCGGTCGATAACTAAACCTTGTCGTGGCGTAACAATCTCTGCAATGTAAGCCAACCGGGTTCAGTTGCATAGCCAAGTTGACTCAAACAGTAGAGGTTCAATATATGATTCAGATGACCACGAGAATTGACACCTGCAGTGCTAGGCATGTCAAAATTAGTGCGAATTCCTCATAGAGCTATTTAGAATCTCTTTGCCTAGACCTGTACGAACTCCGGTGGCGGTGGCGAGGGATGAAGTTTACAATTTCATAATTTCATTAGCATCTGCGATCGCGTATTTGGGCTTGGTATTAGAAAACCGTGTGTCGTAATAGCATAAGCTCATAGAGGTTTTGTCTCATAACCCACAGTAAATCTGCTTGAGTTAAGACTTAATGATTCATGATACGTATAACTAATACGCCTTGATCCTAATGGTAACACGAGCTGAGAAAGACTATCCTTATAGTGTAATAGTAAACGCCTCGTTTATGCTTTAGTTTTGACCCACCTATATACGCCCCGAATGAAATGATGTTGCCGTGCATGGAGGCGCGAGAGGTGGGACCCCGGGATATGCAAAGCCAACAATGATTCCTGTGATATCCGAGAACTTTTATGTAAGAGAAAATAACTATCATGATGTTATCATGAGATGTCATTAGCTTAGTAGAGACAAATAGACCGTATAAATGAGCAATCGAAGCCTGATTTTGTACTACCTCGAGCAAACAACAAACTAGAAGTTCCAATAGGCTCATGAATAGCGGCCGGACATCCCCAAGAAATGACCCTTCCGATGCCGAAATATTTCACGCGAAGGATGAAATATCTCCAGTAGAAACTTGCTAGACTGTCAAAGGATGCCATTGCTCCGGACGTAGAGTAGTTCTGCGTTCTAATCCCATATCTTAGAAACTATTCAGATTGCCGCAACCGGATAATTTTAACCAAGGAGTCTTGGAACGTATCACCATTCAATATTGCCAAGTCTGTTGTATCACATCTGCGGCTGAGGTGATCGAGTTTTCGATTAATGTAGTCGCTTCTCAGCTTGACCGGACGTCAGTAAACAGGGATAATTCCCGTGTGGCTTCGGTTCAAAGTACCCAGACACTTCGAAATAGACCGTAGCCAATTGAAATTTATATAATTCTCCTATGTAAATACTTTCATATAAATATTGATTACAAATTATCGTCCCATCTCTATGAGTATCGGTTACTTGTATGTGTGGGGATGAATAGGATTTGGAAGGATTCCTATTGCTTTTGCTATTCGCTTGATACCAGCCTAAGGCATAACATGGTGAATAGGTACCTAGGTAGGTAGGTAGATTTTGTTATGAAATCGAGTAGTAGTTATGCAGAATTAAGGGGACTAGGGTTGCAGTGTGATCCGATGGAACGTATCAAATTTCGGTGGGAAAATTCTCGAGGTATTGCTTTACCTTTTGGTGCGGGGACTCCGTCCGGTGTCAGAAGGGTGCCGGACTGAGCTAGAAAACCAATGATGGAATGTAGCAATACTAGGAGGTGCCTATACTGGATATAAGTAGTCGATCTTTTTGCTTTATTTACCTTCCTGTCTCGGGAATATCATTTTTGTCTCATAAGTACTTTTCCTTGTATAAGAGCCTGCAAGATGGAGGGCATTCGATTGGTTATTCTCTATTTGGCAGTACCGAGTCTCTTATTCTCCGTCCTGCGCCAAATACACTCTTCGATAAAACGGAATAATGGATCAAGCAAAACTATTCCTGGACCTCAGCAATTCCCTATTGTTGGGAGAGTCCACGATCTTGATAGGTTTTGCATGTGGAAGAAGTTCAAGGAATGGGCTGATATCTATGGCCCGATATACAGGACGAGTATGATGGGCCAGCAATTTATTATAATATCGGATCATAAGATTGCCGAAGAGCTTCTTGTTAAAAGAGGCCACATCTATTCTGGGCGCCCTCAGATTCGGGCTCTTTTTGACCACAAGACTGGGCCTGGCTATGTTGCATTAATGGACCGACACGGTAAAGCACACTCTATCGTTGGCCATATCATCAGATACTAACTTGTCAATCCCAAGACACTTGGACTCGTCAACGGAAATGGGTCCACGCCGCAATGGCTGATTTCCACCGATCACATTTCTTTGGGGTCATCGAGAATGAGGTTAAACGATACCTGGCAATACTCCTCCTCGATCCTGCAAAGTTCCATGCTAATGCGCGGGAACATTGTGGGCGCATAATGAGCCGCCTGGCTTGGGACGATGCCTCACAGGGCAAGGAAAACGGTGACAGTGCTGATCGTACCCTGACACAGATGTCTGTGTCGGGACCAATCGTCAACACGGTAACACCCCTGTGGGCAATACCCTGGGCATTAAACCCATGGAAAAAGTCTGAAAGGGCACGCGAAGACGAGCAGCGGGCCTGGTGGCTTAACTCTTTCCAAACAGCAAAGAGAAGATATCTGAACGGCGATCTGCCTAAAGACACGTGGTCAAGCCGGTACTTCACGGGTCTTCAGGAGCAGGGTAACATTGATCTAGAGCAGACACCTCAGGAAGAGGAATTCGCAAGCTGTATGCTTGGATTCCAAAACCTCGTAGGTGTAGTAACAATTAGCGGGCCA